ATTGCTGTTAAACATTTAACTATGATTATTTTTTTAAGAATTTCCAAGAATATTTGTTTTGTCCCATTAAAAACATATTTTTTACGAAGTAATGTTAATTAATTTATTTTTTTTTAATGTAAATATTAAATAAGTACTCAGTCCCTTCAAGGCAGTATTTAGGACACTGTCCACAATTAAAGAAGTCGGCCTGTGTGGACAGGTCTCAATCAGCCTTGCACATCTGGACACTGCGATTTTATCTCGTTCTTCTTTGCAAATCTGCTCAAGCTCACTCAGGTTAGATTAAGATCATGAGTGAACAGCTGTAAATTCTCAGTTGGACTGAGGTCTGGGCTCTTTTCTAGCCAGTATTGAACACCCCCCTCCTTGTTTTTAACCATTTCTGTGTAGCTTTGGCTGCACTCAAATCATTGCCTTGCTGGAAATAAATACATTTCTATAAGCTGCTTAATGATTTTAAATCATGCATGTATAGTTCACATCACTTCTTCTTTTGTTTGTTTCTGTAGAAATCTTTTTACACTTTGACATGAATGAATACATTTAGTAAATTCTTATTTAAAAAAAAAATCCAAATTATATTGGCCATGATTGAACACTGAAAAGCAATAAAACTGGGACACTTTCAAGGGGGCTGAATACTTTTATATGCACTGTATATAACAGTTAAATACTGACAGGGACCATTTAACTGCATAATGAGCACTTTTTTTGCTGTTAACGATTCTATACTTTAAGTCAGGTTTTGAATGAACAGCTTTTACTTGTATAGGAGTATTTTCACAGTGTGGCATCAGTACTTTTACTTCAAATAATTAACCTGAATGTTTGATCAGGACTGTTACTATGACAACAGCAGTCCGTGTGAAGGATTTCCAGTGGGTTCATTTCTGTCTTTTCTCACCCATTAGCCCAGTTGTTTCCAGATCCCTGCTTCTGGCTGAAGTGTGAACTCTCTCCGTACCTCCACCTGCCAGACCTGGCAGCTTCACTCAGACTGTGGTTGATCACTTTGGGCTCCATGTCAACGAGCACCGCCCGGGCCACGAGCTCTGCAGACACACGGCAGGTAAATGTGGGTACAGACGACAGGAAATGAGCTCATTTAGACCCAGAGGAGCTGTTTTACCTCCATGTGTGTTCTGGTGGAAGAAGCGCTCGCAGCTTTCTGCTCTGTATGTTTTCTTGTGTGCGTTCTGAGCGTCGCTACAAACGACGTGGAACAGCTGGTGAGCCACCTGGTTCCCGCACTGACCGAGCTGCAGCGTCACCACCGACATCCTCCGCACAGCTGACACCGAGCACAACACACCGGGACGGGTAGGTACTTGAGGACAAAGTGACAGCTCGGTGTCATCACTGTTCGAACCGTCAGGAGCTGCTGCCGCCACAAGAAGTTAGAATTGAAGAAGTTTCAAAATAAACTTAACATTTTCAAAATAAAACTTCCGGGAAAAAAAATCTAGAAAACATATTTTTGGTCCCGTTATTTATTACTTTTAATAAGTATATAAGGATGCAATACACATAGTGTAGTTATATGCAGACAAAATGATTTTTTATGTGAGCCTATTTATGTACATACATGTCAGCAGGACCTTGTTACAACTGCGTTTTCACACCATATAATTAAATCTCTGTTGATAAACTTTAAGTATCTTATTACAATACTTATTGATGCCCGTTGTAGCAACCAGTCAAACAAACTGTATTTATAGAGCACAAATCGTTGATTAAATGCAACTCCAAGTGCTGAGCATTAAGAGTTAAAATATAAGGTTACATTTTTTTTTCTTTTTTAAAGGCATAAAATGAAAGAACAACAATAAAATATGGAATAGGAAATACAGTGAAACCACAAGTCGTGAGAAATAAAAGCCAAACTTATAAAGTAACTTTTAGGTTTTCTTTTAGAGATATCCACACTATTTGTTGGGCAATTGTTATTACTTATTATTAAGTAGCATTTATCTGTTTACACCTACATTATGATACGTTATAAACAATATATTTGAATTTAAAGTAATATTATTGTTATTATGATGACAATAAGAAACATTGACAGAAACAAACATATATTCACACAGTGCCACACACACATACTCTTCTTATTATTGTTATTTTTCTTATTACTGTGTTATTGTTGCTGTTTGTGATAATAATAGTACTAGTAATAATGGTGGTAGGACATGTCATTATGTACATTATGTTATTATGATATAAGAACAATAAAACATCAGCAATGTAGCAACTACTGATTTCGTATATTTTCTCATCTTGTTCCATTAATTCCTAAGTGTTATAATGGCTTTAGTAATAAAATGAAGCACACTGCTTCCCAGAAGCCGAGTACCTTTTCAGATTTAATTTGTAGTTTCTTTCTAATTAGGAGCAATAAAAGTATGCAACAAGCGAAAAAAATGAGTACGAAAAGTAATTACACACAAACCATGCAACGTTGTTTACCAGCATTTTTGTTAATACATTTGGTATTAACAAATTATTTGTACTGTTTATTGTATGAACATCAATTTACCAAAGATGACTGTTTTTGATTTATCAGTATGAAGTTCGGGCAAAGTGAATTAACTGAATAAAACAGAACAGGGATTCCCGTCATGAGCAGTGAATCAGACATTTGTTCTGAACAGACTACAGAGGGTGTTTATGACTAAATAAAAGAGGTTACCGCCCCCTTTGGTGAGTGTCGCAGTGCGCATGCCCAGTGTAGTAGCCGGTTATGGCGGCGGTGTGTGTTTGTCCATGAGGTGGGGGACGCCTGCAATTCTTGCGGTCTGTGACAGAGCGATCCGAGCGAACCGCTGCCATGGCTGGAGTGTTTGACATTGATTTGGACCAGCCGGAGGAAAATGTGTCCGACGACGAGAATGAGGAGGTACTTTAGTGGAGGATGTTAAGCTGTCACAGCAGAAACTCTTCCTGCACGGGAGCTAGCTGTTAGCCTGGTAGCCTGCCAGCCACCGCAGGCCTGCTCTGCAGCCGGAGCTCTCAGGCCTCTGCAAACAGGGATCTAGCAGAGGCTAATGCTAGCTCGCCACGGCTAGCCTGACAGTGATCATGACAGAACTGTCACTTGTTCTGTTTTTGTGTTGCCAGTAATGTTAACTAGTGATGAAATGCATGCGTTGTTGACGCTGTCATGTTTATAAACCATCGCTGTCATATTGAAGTTGTGCAAGCCATGCTTACTTGGCCAAAGGTGCTGCAGTGATAAATGTGGCTCCGTGTGCAACAGTTTATTTTGGCAAGACTGAGACAGAGTGGGACTGTGTGGACTGGAAGCTGGAGCCAGTTTGTTTCTGTGTAACTGAGATATAAAAAACAGCAAACACTACTGCAGATTAAAAATGAACAGTTATTTAAATCATGTGTTTATGTTGCTTTATGCAGGTGTCTTATTGCAATAACACCTTTAACATGTGCTGCTGCGGGAGAACAGTTATTGAACAGGAGAGCCAGACAGTGCAATGTACAGATATTTTCTGCACACACACATACATATGTATATTTTTCAGGATATACAACTTTTGGACTGTTGCTAAATAGCTTGCATCATATGCATATTTGTGTAGCATGGTTTGGACATCTATTACATCACATTGCTCCTGTGTAAATGTGAAGCCAAGCACTTTTGATAACGGATTACAGTTTAAAACAAAGTTATTTTCCAGTAGAATAAAACTCATGTAGTTGTCATTAGTGATTAGTGTGTTGTTGTTGTTTTATTACCAAAAGTCCAGAAATATTAAGTTTATAGTGATTTTTACAAGCAGCCAGCCTTCAATTAGAAAATGTTTAGCATTCATCCTTGAAAAGTGACTTAAGTGATCAGCCAATGATTTTCTGCTTATTGACAACTCATTGATAAATGTAAGAAATGTCTGTTTTTATCCCAACACAATGTCATCTAAAGTAACAATATGCGTAAATGTTATTTAGATTTAGATCAGCCCTTATTCTGTTTATAACAACATATGTAGACTGCCTATATGTACAGGCTGCTGAGCTTTAGAAAAGGTTTTCTGCTGCACATGCAAACTTTAATTATGAGGTTGAAAGCTCCTACAAACTTAATGAGTAAAAAAGTCACCAAATCAAAAACTGTAATTTCTGACACCAGTGTGGCTGTTCAGCTGCAATTTCTCCTCAGGTGTTCTCCATGTTCCTCATGAGAATAAAAACAACTTATTTGTTTGTTTTTATCTTCTGCTTTCCACTTTTCCTTTTAGGCTCAAATCAATGATATCATGGACCAGTGCAGTGGATTTGAGTTGTAAGTATTCACATCTCCGTTTCGTTGTTTTATGATTTTAATAACAAAATAAGAACGTGCATACCACATCGCACATGTCTCACTGCAGCAACATGGACGATTGTGAGAAGATCGAGATTTCTGAGGATAACGTCAATCAGGGGACGGAGAACATCAGACCGGAGTGCTTTGAGCTGCTGCGTGTCTTGGGGAAGGGCGGTTATGGAAAGGTACTTGTCATATCTAGAAAGCAGCAACTACTCTGAACACAGTCATACATACTCGTTGGATTATTTTGCCTCTGTATTGTAAAAAAAAAAGAATTGTTTTGACTAATATTTCTTCCAGCTGTTCATTTGATTATCCTAAATGTACAAATCCCTTTCTTTGCTGCGCAGGTTTTCCAAGTTCGAAAAGTTGTTGGAGCTGCATCAGGCAAAATCTTTGCCATGAAAGTTTTAAAAAAGGTACATAATTTTTTCCTTCACTAACTCCAAAAAATGCAATCCTTTTTCCAGTTGCATCAATTGCAGTGATGTGTAGCTGCTCTCAGTTTGTTATATGAACATTATTGCGTGCTTCTTATTACAAATAAACGTTCTGGTGCTTTTGTCTGCAAATATTGGCTGTCGCTGAAGCCAGTGGTGGGGTAAGATTTCACTGCTAGTTGGTAGATTGCCATCTATGCTGCTCTGCTGCAGCCTTGGCACTTAAAACACTCTGCCTCAGCCCATTAGATTCCGCTTGATATTCACACTGCTTCTGCTTAATTGGCTAACATAACCTCAGTGACATATTGAAGACCTGCCAGAGTTCAGTCATTTATTTCAACTGCTAAGCTTAAAACATTTATGTGCAGCATTGTAGTGTGGAGATAGAGGCCGGCGCTCAACTTTATGAAGCATCTCAGGGTATGAAATGAGTCCTGACTTGCCCAAAATTGTCAGTGATACATATTTATGTCACTGACATGTGAAGTTACTCAACTGAGGAAATTATCATTTCTGCAGAACTACAGATCTGTTCTAACTTGTTAGGAGTTCCCAGCTGGTGGACGGTGATAGCAATTAAGCTGTTTACGTCTCCAAAGTTGTAAAATAGCATAACTTTTTCATTGATCAGATTGGAGTAAAACTTCTTTGTAGTTTGTACAACACAATATCTACAAAACTGGGTTCCCAGCAGAAAGAGATTAAATGTCTTTGCAGTTTATGATACATTTAGAATTGTGTGTAACTCTTATGCGTAGATACAATAGAGTCTTAGATTTCGAGCCTGCACACATGCAGTAGCTCATGACACAAATTATATAATACTGTAATTAATTTTGATTTTCCCGTTTCCCATTTTAACTAATTGAGTCTGGCAGTGTGTTGATTGAACTGCTAAAGAAGTCCTTATTAATACATTGGCCCTTCATAGTTGAGTATAATAAATTTGTCATGCTGTATACTCCTCGGTGGGAACTTTGATTCATTGTTCCTGATACGGCACTGATTTTGAGATGCTTGATAAACACATGCAACTAATGTCAGTAGCGTAGTAACAAGCTTTGTGTTAGCTGAAGGAAACAAAGCCTGTTTTGCAAGCAAGATAGGACCGAAAATTCAGAATACAATGCATAAATCATTATCAGCCCGTTGTCATCATTGTAACACTCCGAGCTGAGATAACATTGTTGCTGACAGGCAGCTCTTTAGCTTCCTGACAGAAGTGGTTAGTAAACAGAACCGAGAACAGCAGAGAGGAGAGGCCTCTGGGGAGATGGAGGAGCAGTTCAAAACCACAGAGGTGCTCAGTCTTTGTCCTTACTGTACTACACAGGATTGTAGTTGTAATATGCTTTACATATTCAAACGCATGTCTTGCGCATCTTCCGTGTTGCCTTTATTCGAGTGAGCAATAGTAGCACGATCCAGCTTGTTAACATGAATATATTCATTAATGTAGATTAGCAGTAATAATAAATTGTCGCTCCTCTGTTTTAGTTGACTAAGCTGCTCGGCTGAACCCTGCATCTCAGATGTTGTTTAGTAGAACACTTTGATTCCCTCTCTATTAGTCATGCAGACAGCAGCTCATTCGACAGCGATACACAGCCTGTTGAGGAGAATTTTTATGTTTTGCAGAATTTTGAATCTGTATTGATTAAAACACACCCGTGTTTCACCGCTCTCCATTACATGCTGCAGCCGTATTTAATGCTGGTTTTACTTTTGGGGGGTTTGGGGTACCAGGCTATGATTGTGCGCAATGCCAAGGACACGGCCCACACCAAGGCAGAGAGGAACATCCTGGAGGAAGTGAAGCATCCCTTCATTGTCGATCTCATCTACGCCTTCCAGACAGGAGGAAAGCTGTACCTCATCCTGGAGTACCTGAGCGGTCAGTGCAAGCAGCACACACAAAGGCACACATCTGGCACACTGCAGGAATATTAATGCAAATTACACAAGCAGAGTCGGTGTGAAATCACTCTGCTGGAATTGTAATTGTTCCTGTCAAGATGAAACCTGTCTGCAGTCTTGTGTAGACAATCATGAGGTAAATTTAAATGATTACAGCGAATACCATAAAATATTTATATCCTTACTCACATAAACCTCAAATACTAACAGTCTCTTTGTGTAACTATTCTCAGTCTCTCTTATGCACACTGCCAAAAACATCAGAACAAAATAATGTAGTACATGTTGTAGCTTGGCTTCCTGGTTCTCCTCTCCAACAAAGAGCACATGTTAACTTTGCCTCGACATTTCTGGAAGGTAGCAAAACTGTATTGTGATTCATTTTCGGTTGGAGAGTCAGTGCTTGCAAGAGTTTCAAACTCAAAAACAAAAATTTGTGCCTCAGAAATGCATTGCATCAACATGATCATGTTTAAGGCATCACTTCTTCCTACTTGTCTCAGGAAGTCAGTAATATATAGATTTGTAGGAATGTATGTGTCACCTGTGTTAATAGCATGAACATGTGCTTACCTTTGCAGGAGGAGAACTCTTCATGCAGCTGGAGCGGGAGGGCATCTTCATGGAAGACACAGCCTGGTGAGCATTACTTATTTCTTTATTATTATGTTGAAATAGGAACACACGCATATCTTCGCAGAATGTCAGTATTGTCTAATACCACGGAAAAAACTCATTTCTGATTTGTTATAACAGGTATCAATATTAAAACTGTATCTTGGGACACCTCAAATGTAGCTGTCCACAGTTAAGCTACATTTTAATTGGTGTCTAAAGTATAATAGACTGCAGGTCAGCTTAACAACAGACCATAACAAGCTGGAAAACTTGATTTGAACAGCAAATAGAATGTAAAAAATAAATGCTATGTATAAAAATGGAAACAAAATCTGTTGAAAAAAACAAAACAAAAGAATAATCTTAAATTCCCTCTGTGAATATTATGTTATAATGAAGGCCTCAGTGGTTCCTGTACAAAAGCAAAACTCAGCAGTAAAATCAGCTGAAGAACTGGTTAAAGCTGCAATATGAAGGATAGCAGAGTTTGAAAATACAGCCTTCCTCCTGCAACTTTGCCCTCTCTGTCCGAAGCTCCTCCCACCAGATGAGCAAAGGTACATGCATGTGCTTTAAATGTAAAAAACTAAATAGCCAAAATTAAACCTTCATTTTTAGCTTCACAAAGAATTCAGACCCCACTCACTTCAGGGAAAGTCCTTTGGTCAACCCATTTAGCCACAACATCCTAGTCGCGGTGCAGACCCTGTTGCTCTCTACATTCCCTCACCTGATCTGGTCTAAAAAACACCTGTAATTAGCCAAAGTGTCCCGACACAGGATAGATTATCTAGAGTCTGAAAATGGGGTTGCAGAAGTCTAGTTTCCTCTCAGGCCACTTGAATTACAAAACGCTGGAAGGTTGTTGTGGACTTCTTATCCAATAATGCAAAGAAAATGCAGCAGCCCCAAACACAATGCTTCTACATTGCTATATCTGTATTTCGACATAATGTGCTAGTGTTTAGCATGAAGTTAATTGTGTTTAGTGAAAAGTTTCCCATTTTTGTTTCTTTCTTTAGCTTTTACCTGGCAGAAATCTCCATGGCTCTGGGTCACCTGCACCAGAAGGGCATCATCTACAGAGACCTAAAACCTGAGAACATTATGCTTAACAGCCAAGGTGGGTGCAAGGACATCAAATCAAATTTAGGTGTTTTTTTTTTTCTTCTTTTATTTTGAATTAATGGTTAATTGAAGTAATACTAAACAAAGTTGTAGATCACCAAACACATAGGGAAACTTTGTTCTTGAAACAGAAGGTAATCCTCAGGAGATGAAAAAGCAAGTACAAAGTGAGTTGAAGTCTTCCAGTAAAAGAGGAATTTGCCATTAAAGTGTAGCAGTTCCTTTTCCATTTTCCATGATTTGTTGGTAGTGTTCTTGTGTATCCACCACAGAGTGATACAAGGATTGTAAATGTTTCCATCTATGTGTTGTTGCCTTTCCAGGTCATGTAAAGTTAACAGACTTTGGGCTGTGTAAAGAATCCATTCATGACGGCACGGTTACCCACACTTTCTGTGGCACAATTGAATACATGTAAGTAAAGTTCCGTCATCCTTCTTTCGTGCTGTTGATCTCACCTAGTGCCGTTTACCTGTTTTACCCTTCTCACTTGCTCTCCTCCTTTTTTCACGCTCACTGATGATCTTTGCTCATGAATGTGTTAGTAAGACATATGCGCTCACATGGTTGCAGGGCCCCAGAGATCCTGATGAGAAGTGGACACAACAGAGCAGTGGACTGGTGGAGTCTGGGCGCTCTGATGTACGACATGCTCACAGGAGCGGTCAGTTAAAAATTTACAACCTGAAAAGGCTTTCCACTTCGCTTTTATTAATGGACTGATATAAAATATGAATCAAAATTTGGGATGTTAGAGTAACCCCTGTCTCTTACTGTAGCCACCATTCACCGGGGAAAACCGGAAAAAGACCATTGACAAGATCCTGAAGTGTAAGCTCAGCCTCCCGCCCTACCTCACACAAGAAGCTAGAGACCTCCTGAAACGGGTATTTATGGGGTGTTTTCAGAGCTCATTGTACTCCAGGTTCTTGGTAGTTGTTGGGTTAGTACTCTTTTGACATTTGACTGCTGGTTTTACAGTTGCTGAAGAGAAACGCCTCGTCGCGGCTGGGAGCTGGAGTAGGAGATGCCACAGAGGTGCAGGTGAGAATGTTCAGTAATAAAATGCACCAACTCTTTCCCTAAGCACCATATATAAAAGCAGTAACTTTTATATCAGATCCCAAAGTGGTATTGCTTGAAAAACAGAATGTATTACTTCCTAATATTTTCTTTTGTTCCCTCCTAAGGCCACACTTGTGTTGATACTTGCATTCTTATGATGTTGGAAATGGCCGCCACTGCATAAAAAGGAGTTGATTCTCATTCTTCTCCAGACTATAGTGCTATGTTTTATAGCCATCTCTTCACCGTGCTCTGTATCTGATATCACACAGGCTCATCCCTTCTTTCGACACATCAACTGGGAGGATTTGTTGGCTCGGAAAGTGGAGCCTCCCTTCAAGCCTTTCCTGGTGAGTAATAGAGAAGCGGACCACAAGGAGTTCTGAGCTGGATATTACTTCCTGGAAATGTGAGAACATTAAATGTTCACAAACGGTGCTATTCGAGCAGCTTCAGTTCAAGGTTCGAGTAAGTCTCGGGAACTGAACCCAGGTGCTCTCCTGTTTCACACCAGCTCGTGTTTATCTTGGCAGCCAACACATCTGCTCATGTAGCTTTACCTCCTCACCTGTGTTGTTTCGTTTCTGTCTTTGCAGCAATCAGCTGAAGACGTGAGTCAGTTTGACTCAAAGTTCACCAGTCAGACACCAGTCGACAGCCCGGATGACTCGACCCTCAGTGAGAGTGCCAATCAAGCCTTCCTGGTAACTTCAGACCACGTTTTCTTCAACTTTTGTTTGTTTTAGTTATGTTAACTTCTCATTTAAAATCGGCTGCATTTCTTTATACCAAAACTCATGCTTTCAGGGACACTGTCTACATACCTGACTCTTAAGCTTGTACTGAAACACATTTTCCATCATTACCTTGGTCTTGGGTATAAAAAATTCTTTGGTGAGGTTGACCTAGTGGACCAGTGGGTGGGGTACATGCCACATGGGCACATATTCTCTGAGCAGGAGATCCCTTGTTCAAATCCCAGCTGGGGACAGATTGCTTAATGTAATATCTCTGCAGTGCCTGTCTGTCTCTCCATATTTCTTTCAAAATGAAAGCAAACATTTTCAAAAATAAAGTGTTATCTGACTTCCTTTCTCTCTCTCAACAATAAACTGACTTATTGCCAATCAGCATTTTTCTCTAGAGGGGTAATTGCTTATGTATTTAGATCTTCAATATTGACTGCATTGTTTTATTTTCTGTTTAAATGACAACACTGGTGCATTTCTCCCGTTGTATCAGTATACATGACAAAACAAATATATCAGTAAAGTGGAGCAACAACAGATTTACAGCCACTGCAGTGCTGCAGTAATGTTCTCTGTGGCCAGGCAGTAATAGATCATTTCTCCCTTACGTTTCTCTGTGATCATGCGCCAACTGTAGCAGTTTTCATCTCATGTCTTCTCTGCGTGTTTCCAGGGTTTCACATATGTTGCTCCATCAGTCCTGGAAAACATCAAAGAAAAGTTCTCATTTGAGCCAAAAATCCGCTCACCTCGACGGATCATGGGCAGCCCAAGAACACCTCTCAGGTATATCAATCATGTCTGCAGCAGGCGCTCCAGGAAAAAAATATGTCCATGGTGATGAACGACAGCCTCAATGATGCCCTTCATTCTGTCTGTCCTTTTTAGCCCAGTCAAGTTCTCAGGGGGGGACTGTTGGGCCCGGAGCCCCCTCCTTCCCAGCGGAGGACCGAGTAGTGTCCTTCAGTCTCCTCAGGACCAGGCCATGGAACTGTCCACCCCCGAGCAGATGGACGTCACGAGCAGCTCCGAGGCCTCGGCCCCTCTCCCCATCCGTCAGCCTGCTGGGGTCAACCTTGCTCAGATGAAGCAGCAGGCCTATCCTGTGGTGGCCAAACGACCGGAGCATCTACGTATGAACCTATGACCCGCCGCAACCGTTTAGGAGAGTTTATTTCTTGACTCTTTATTATTTTTTTTTCCTTTGTTGATATTTTTTAAGAAACAAAGCAAAAAGATATGGATGCTAGAGACAATGAAAATCCAAAATTGCACATCCGCACACTACATATACTGTCACAACCTGGAGTTTGTGCGTGTGCCTGGGATTCCAGCGTGCTACAGATAAGTGCTACCGACGACATCACCGTCTCACCACTTCCCCTTCGACACCTCAGGTCTGTTGACCTCCATCTTCTGCTCCTTCACCCCTAAGAACTGGACTGGTAGGAATCTTTTCAGGAGCTCCAGCCTGTGTATGACCGGGAAGGTTATAATGTATCACACAGTATGCAAGCGCTTCAAAGTGAACTGCAGTCAGTCTAGTGTAGTAGAAGATGTCCAAAGTGCTTTGTGCTATTTGAATGAATGCCAGTGAGGAAACTGCTTCCATTGGAAGATTTTGACAGTACTTCTTCTTAGACAAGATGCTTCCCTAGCTCTGAATTAAATAATATGAATTAGGTTTATTATTTAAAAAGATCAAAGAAAATCATTGTAACGGACAAGCAGAGGTTCTGGTGTTGATGAATATAGCTTTATGTCTTACGAAGTTTTACAAAATGAACTGCATTAACTGTGCTATACATCAATGATGAATCAGAGAGCCTAAATTAAAGAGGAAAAAACAACGTTGACTTTTTACATTCTTTCAGCATCGGTGTTATGTTCAGTTCTCTGCTCCTCAGGCGTAACTACACTATGGGTTTGATCTCTGGATCAGATCGGACTGGTTTGGTGCAACATTAGCGTGACCCACTCTATCATCACCCAAAACATCCAACTGATCTCGGTGCTGCTTTCTGTAACCCCCCCCAGCCCCTTGTCCGGCTGCCCAGGACCCGCTGGGCTTCAACGGTTCGGGACGTCAGATGCTCCATCTGACCCCTGCAGCGGATTCATATCGGAGACTGTGGCGCCAGTTGATCTGGACACTGCCTGCAGTTGTGGGGGTTTATTGCGCCACAAAACTTGGGGCAACATTTCCAGCCTCCTGCATCAGCATTAACTTGTTTAGGATGGAAGTTTTAGAATTCCTGAAAAGCAAGGAAAATTATAAATAAAATGTAAAAAAACACAAAGTGCACCGTGTCTTTTGTGTATGCTCGTAACGATGTGGATTCAAAGGACCAAGAAACACAACGGGAGAGTTGAAGAATGCACATATTTTTTAATCACACGGATTTGTTTGAAATGTCATAAATATTGCATCCTATAAATGTCATCATCTCAACATTACAGAGCACTGCTGCTAACATATTCAAATTTGTCAAGATATATTCACACTGTGCTATCTTTTGTCTCCTGTGATTGGGTTTTTAGACTCAGTAAAAAAAGAAATGCACAAACAGAAAAAAAAGAACACTTTAAGGATTATAAGAGTAATTTTCCATAGCTGACATCAGAGTAGTTTACTGCCACCTAAAGGCCAGTTTGGCAAACCACATCAACTGACCTGAAATCATAAAAATAAATGTTGGTAAAACAAAATCACACAGTTTATCTACTAATATGTTTCTTAAAGAAAACCAGACCAACAAATTTAGTGCTCTCTTTAATGGCTAAAAAGGTTTTCAGGATGTAGTTTTGTCATTAAAAACCATTCTGTCGTAAACAAACATGAAAGGCCCCATAAACATGAAGTATGTGAGTTTAATGTTCAGTATGACATCTGTGCATTTCAGAGGAATCAGATGGAGGAAAATAAAAAAATCACAACACAATCTCTGCCACGGTAACAGAAAAATCTGACATTTTACCAGTGATTCACAAAATTCGGCACAGGTAATCAGACATAACGCAAAATAAAAATTTATCTTACCCTCACGTAAACGCTGATTGTGCACTTGAACGTTTACATTTGATAAAGCAGTTGGATTTTTAGTGCTGGCTTTAGAGAAAATACTGCAACATTCACTTCTACATACAGTATGAAACAAATAAGCAGAGCGTTTGCTTATCGAGTTTCTGCTGGTCTGGGATCTGGATAGCTTTGTGGGCAATAAATTCCTTTTATTTATTCCAGGCAACAGCAGGTGATAAAACCCCCATATGCACCTGCTACACACACTGTATATTTAATGATAAGCCAACACAAAGTCTAGAATAAGGCTCTTCGGGGGAAGCTTGATAACTGCCAAGCTGATAAACACATTACAGATGAATGTGACTCCTCCTCACTGATGGCTGGTGTTTATGTCCCACAAAGATGGAATCTGCCAAAGGATCCTTGATATACACTCCCTATTTAGACAGACTATATGGCTGTAATAATGTGTTGCATTAAAAATGAGTATACAATATATTTAGTCATAATGTATCTATAAAACTGGATACTGCTGCCTGTTCCTCACTAGGGTTTGGCTGCAAAGGAAAATATGTTAATAAAATCCCACCAGACAGGCCCTATTGAAAACCAAGATGGTTCAATGGTAAAAACCTGCATCAACCAATATACTATTAACCTTTGTAACTGGTCCTATACAGAGTAAAACTAATGGGATTTAAGGAAAGCACGGAAAAATAAAAAAAGAACTGTTCCAATAAAACCATTGAATGTTTCAGCCACCTCAGTTCCTTTAACCACTGATGATGCTGGTTTTGTATTAGGAGTTGTGAAAAAAAATATTTTTCCCAAAGGAATGTGCACTCAGCTTCATTAAGAGAAATAACTAAAATATGAAAGCAGCCATGTTGTTTTATGTCCCTTACCAATCGACAGTATATTACTGAAAGCAGTGTTACACAATGAGTCATCATCGGTTTTACTTCATTACTGTAATATTCCCAGCCTGCTTTGTTGAAAAAATAAACAAGGCACAAATTACTCACGAGGAAATAAAATCTATTTAAATAATCATTAGGAAAAAAACAAACAAAACAACCCCCGACTGGTTCAGATCTGAGTCAAACAGCAATGAAAGATATTCTTTACTCTGGGTTTAAGTTCATTTAAACTGCATCAGGTCAGACATGATTTAGAAATCCACACGTGCATACAGTTGAATCGAAAGTGTGGAACTGTATGTTCTGTCCGAGTTTTCCCTTCATGGACAGGACGGTGAACAAGTCTGAAATGCAGAGATTTTTTTATGTGGTGGAAGACTTCAAATTTCACGAGCTAATTTATCGCTGTTGTTTGGAGAAGGGATGCACAATGATGTCAGCATCATAATCTGCAACATCAGATAAAGGCTTCAAAACAAAATATCAGCATCAGCCCACGACGAACAGTGATGGGAAGAGAACGCCTGTCACACGAAAAATGTAGTTATGTTTGAAAATGTTGTATAAAAATAAAGATGGCACGTCAAACAGGTACGTTAAAGACATAAAGTAGTCTTATTTTGAACATTACAATTTCATTCAAGAGAGGCCTGATGTTCTCTGTAGTTAGGTTGAAAAATGTGCCATATCAATAATGGGCGAAAATAGATTGGAAAATTTCTGCATTTTGGATTGTGCATCTTTAATTTGTAAAAATGTACAGAGCAGCCAAACTTGATTATCCAAGTAAGTTAAAACAAGCCTCCAAAAAATATCTAAACATACTCTTTGACTCAGCTCTGGTTTGGTTAAGCTATTTCAAGCAGCAGTATATGGTTTCAGGAAATAACAATTCTGACTGACTGGTTGTTTCAGTTTCCAGTGGGACACTTACACTTAGCAAGGGTAATAATGAGAATGATTTTTACCTTCAGAGAAGACAACAACGTTGAATTTCTTCATATATATGTAGTTTATGGTGACCGAAGCAAGAAAGTGTGAGGGTAAATGTTTGCAGAATGTAGCAGCTACTGCAGGACCAAAGGAATTACACCAGATGGGTGAGGATGGAATTACAGTATGACCAGCAACTAGCCGTTTTTGGAATATGCAGGTACAGTGCACCAAGAAGTGTCTGTGGTTTGGATGATTAAGTGCTGTCACTGATTCACTCTGCACCTCCATGCAGCCGGGCTCTGCTCCTGCAGCCGCCTCATTTTCTTCCCTAACCACACCCACCAGGCTAAACCAATCACAACGCACACCACAGACTCCACATAGTAGCCATCCAGTGTAGTCACACAAACGCCGCCTTCCTTAACGCACAGCTGGAGGTGAGAACAGGAATAAAAGGAGTTAATACCTTTTCTACATGAGAAAATACATTCTGTCTTGTTCCATCCTCTTCCTAATCACTTACCCCTGCCTCTTCTGAAGAGCCACAGGTCTGCCCCGCAGCCCCCTGGCATTCCTTAGAAGTCAGCGGATCAACCATCCACAGAGCCACAGTGGAAGGCCAGTTTCCTCCGAGGTTAGTGACTGTGTTCAGCAGGGTCATGTAGGTCCCACCAATGAGGGGGTCACTCACTTTGGCATGGAAGGCCATGCAGGCCACATACATGCTGTACAATGCCACCTTGGGAAGAAAACACATAAGGTTAACTTGCTGTGGCAGACCTCTAAACTAGAATGTGATTTTTTCTTTGTTTGATTAATTCACTTATTAATTCTTCCCTGTTCCAGAAATAAAAAATCTTACTGAAACACAGTCACATGAAATCAAAACAGAACTTTTCTTATTCAAATAAGATATTAAATTAAAATTAAAAAATTAAAAAGCAATGAGATAACATGACAGTGTTATGACAAATGCTGTCTGTCTTAGTTTACAGCGACATCTGGGGGCAGAGACAGGAAATTAATGAAGCTGACAGGAGAAAACCTGTACCAGCTAATGTCTTTGTAGCTGTGGTTAAGTTGCACAATCCTTCATAAATGACACAGCAAAAAATAAAACACACCCATTTGTCTGTCTGTAACACACATTTTAAATAAACAATGTGTTTATAGTAACTGTAACTGTTTAAGCAAGTTTCTATTCCACAAACAGGCTGGGATACAGTGTAAATACTGTACAGAGGGGCAATAGTCCTGTGGATCTGTGTATTGCTGAAATGCTGCCACCAGGAAGAGCTACAGTGTGGTCTGGACTAGGAGTGGAAAACAGAGGATAAAAAGGCTTAGCAAAGAGAATAGCAGCGAAATACCAAACCTGATGCAATGCGTAGCTAAGCAGCACAATGGCAAAGTAGTAAATGGGGAACCCTCCTTCTTGTTTGACACTGGGGGTCCACCACACCAGCAGAGCATACTCCAGCCCTATAAGCAACCTGCAACAGAGAACATAACACTGTGAGATTTTAGAGTGTGTACAGTATGCATGCATGTGTGCAGTTTTGTTTGTGTGCGTATGTGTGAAAACCTGAAAGGGAAGGCCTTGTAGAAGACATCCAGAGGTCTGGGCCCTGCAGTGTATTTACTGATGACCACTGGTAGAAGGATCTGCAGAGGTACCATGGGCACCGCCAGCAATGCCAGCTGCTCCTTGGGAACTCCAGCCTCCACCAGCTTCAGACCTGTAACTGCATCTGCTGCAGAGAAGCCAATCTGAAACACAAAGGGAAGACATGAGATCAGAAGCAAACTTGCAAAAGCAACAGGTTTAAAGTTATATTTCAAAGATCAACCAAATTATTGTTTAGTAATGGTTAACTACTTTGGCAGTGAGAAGCAGGGCACAAAAGGTGAAGACTGTGGGCATCTTGATGATGGTGAACAGCAACTTGTAGGTTTCCATGACGCCCTGCGTCTCCTCTGGGGCTTTCCTCTTCCCTTTGCCCTGTTCATTTTCCCTTTTAAAGACAGCTACCAGAGTGGTGGAAACCAGGAACACCACTCCCCAAAAAAACAAGAAATCTGCAGCGAAGTAAACAAAAGTATTAAAAAAATTACACTTCATTTAACTGATCACCAACTATTTATTCACATCTCAACTATGTGAAAAGTTATTTGACTCTTTAATCTTTTTCATCATGGATGAAAAATACCTGACAAGGTGACAATGCCTGTGTCCTTAGGCTCTATTCTGAGGTATTTGTTGCAAAAGTCTGCAGATTCCAGAGCCAGAAAGAGCACATTGCCCAAGAAGTAGCCAGCTGTCTGGCCTACTGAGTTGCATGTCGATGCATATCCAACATTTTCTCTGGACAACATAGTCAGGGCCCAGCCATCCACAGCTATATCCTGAAATACAGAGAGGATACAGGGAGCAAATCAATGTATTCATCTTTCTCAATATGTGCTTGTATCACTATGTTTATGAATGTTTACCTGCGTGGCTGCCAGGAAGGCAAGCATAAAAAAGACTGCAGTAAGTGTTACAACACATGGTCCTGTCTCACTCTGCAGCAGCGAGTTGACTGTTACAGAAAGGTAGAGCATGAAGAGGCCCAGGAGGTACTGTGTAGGCACCAGCCATGACTTTCTGCAGAAGTAGGTGGGAGGTGGGGGATAGGATGTACATTATCAGGGAAAAGTGTAGAGAATAAAGCTAGGAGAAAAACAGCTATACACATGAAACATCATCATAAAAGGTATACAAATGTCTTTCTTACCTTCTGCCAAACCTCCTGAAGTACAGCGCATCCACCAGCGGTGCCCAGAAAAGCTTGAGACTAAAAGGCCAGAAGACAAAGCTGAAGAAAGCTTGGTCTTTGTAGCTGACGCTCTTACTCTGTAAGATCAGAGGGATGCTGCCAGCCAGTCCAAGAGGAATCCCCTGCAGCACGTAGAGGAACAGAAGAAGCAGCACGTTGCCCAGCTCGCCACGGATCCCAGGCCTGCCTCTGCGATGCCTTCTGTCCTCAGAGTCGGACCCTCTGATGAGACCCTCTGCTTCCTCTTCAACTTCCAGCTCAGGGGAGCTTGTCTCTCCCCTGTCCACATCCCTCATGTTTTCAAATGGGAGGTTGTTACCCACCAGCTTCCTCTGCCTCCCGTTCTTGTGTGTGATCAAATCTGAGGGCTCCATGATGGGAGCAGTGGGCATCAAACCTGCTGCGCCCTCAGCAAATCTGCAGAGAGAGATGAGAAAGGAACAGCTAAACAGATTACTAATTAAGCGTACATCAGTGAAGCTGCTGGGACAGTTTTGAATCCTTTTGATTCCACTGGAAATAAAAAAGTTATTTTTTGGAACGCATAACGAAAACAACGCAAAAAGGTAGGCTGAGATCATAGCAAAAACAAAGACACATTTCACAATTGGCACAAAATAAAACACAATATTGAACAAATAGGTTGTGGAATGCAGGTGTGTTTTCTTCTGAATATGGAATGAATATGGCTGGGTGGGGAAGACAGGTGTGAGCTAGGATCAGACGGCCCTTGATCAAACAGTTGTACAAATAATTGGCAACCACAAAAGTTGCGTGTAATTCATAGGGTGATTACTGGTCTAGACGGTATACTGCATGGCAAACAAAAAAAAACTGCACAGAGCAGACACCTATACAAAAACTTGGTATCAATAAAAAAAATAGTAGGGTGAAGATGACAATGAATTGCACTGAATTAAAAAAAAGAGGGCTTACAATTTACACAGCTTAGTATAAGAAAGAGAAATCAGGCGTCAGAAAAAGCTACATGCAAACACACACACTGTCACGACGGCGGGATGCGACACACACGGCAATTACAGATGATGGTGGAGCAGATAAATCAATGAATGATTCGATTTTAAGTTTCCAGCTGTCACCTTAAAATCATCAGCTAATATGTAAGTCACAAACAAAGTCCGACATTCACTTAAAATTAACAAAACACCAAAAAAACATGCTTTCCAATTCGGGCATAAATAGACAAGTGACATGCATGACATGAAAAAGTGAAGCCATAGATGAATTCAAGCATACCTGGTGATGACAACATGCCAAATCAAAAAAAAAAACAGAACACAAAAGGGGCTGAATCACAGAACCAATCAACGGAGAATCGATTTTTTATTTAGTCTGTTCAATCGATAGACAGCAGCATCCCAACAAAGGTAAGAAACACGAGAAAATGACTACCGTTTGATTTCACACTGCTTACATCGGTGGGTATCAACACAAACCAGGAAATGCGCCGTGTGCGACACCTAAATGTGTCCGGTACGTACAGCTGACGTGTCCAAACTGTATGTTCCGCTTCAGTGTGAATGTGCTGCGTTCCAGGCAGGGATGGAGCAGAGTATACTGTATACTGTATATCACTTTTTTTTTAAATCGTTAAAAATATAATCTAACGTGATAACGTGTGGGTCACTGAAACTTTAAAGATACTGCACGTTAAACTCAAAAAACTGATGGCGCCAAACAATTCCATGAAAATTTCAATGCAAATAAAATATATTTTGCATAATTCGGTTTGCTGTTGATCAGATCAGACTACCCTTTTCAAAAACAATACTGGCAGAAACTATCCTTACGAAAACAATGCTGGCTGATGTACAGATCTTAAGCTATAGTATGTGTGTTCTACTACAACATGTTAAATATTTCTTTTGTGTAAGTTTTGTTGTGGCTGGGTTTTTTTTTGTTTTTGTTTTTTTGTCAAAGGCATTATGAAGGACTTTGCTCTTGCAACAGAAAATGAGCACTGATAAAAATGTTACTTAACAACAAAACTGAAAACATGAGAGAAGGAGTAGCTTACCTTGATATATGTCATCAAGAAATTTATGAATATATGACCTATCATTTCATTACACATTTTCATTACACAGAGTATAATCTGGGCTGCTTTTAAATACAATAAAACCTAACCCTGCCTATAAGCTACAGAAAAAACAGAATATTTTTACAACAAATAAGTGATGCTGTACAAGAATATAAACCCAACGTCAGACGACTATAGGGGGGTATTAAGAGCTGGTCTTACACTATTGGCTAGCTAGTATAGAACCTTTACGACAGGGATATTCAATTTGCTTCTCCCAGGAGCCAAGGTATTAAACAAACAATAATATTTACCAGATAAAATTGGCAAACATTAAAGGCTGTATAACTGATCTTTCTTTGACATTATGTAGGTTCAAAAACACCCAAGCAAGAGTTGAGGGATATTAATGAACATTTACTGCATAAACAAACAAACAGCAAAATAATCTGCGTGTGAATCAATTTTATTTTAAATGTGATTTAGATAATGGCCCACCTGGCACCCTGCCGTGGCCTCATTTGGCTCAGGGGATTCAAGCTGAGTGTCACTGCTTTTGGGCGGATTATTAAGAACCGTGTGCTAAACGTTGGAAATACAATACCAATAACTCCATCAGTTCCACTAAAATCTTAACCATCCACCACAATTAAAGCATAAGCTAACCACCAGCCAGGAACCTTAAAAGATACACTGCGTCCTTCATGTCTTCACATGAAAAAAAAAACCCACTAAGGAGCAGCAGCAGTCAGAAAACCAGCAGAGCATCAGTGGCTAAAATATTGTATAGTGTAATTAACCTTATACTGCATATTTATTAGGTTGAATTATTATACTAGTCCTGATACTTTATAGCACTGCACAGTATTGTGTAAGTAGGAAATATACAATATATATACAGTCATCCTCAAATGTATTCATACCCTCCCATTAAAGAAGAAAAAAACAGCTGTCACCGAAATAAGTTGAAATTGAGAAAAGTAAGAAAATTAAAATTTTATGAAAATCATGACATTACTTTTGAATTGTGGTTCAACAGAAATATACATACATATATATATATGACAAAAACAACAACAAAAAACAAGCAAACAAGCATGATGGGACCTGTAAACCAATGTTTTGTTGAACAACCCTTTGAGCCAATCACTGCAATCAAGTGTTTTCTGTGACTCTCAATCAGACTTCTGCACCTGTTGACAGGTAGCACTGTCTCATTTCACTAAATTATAGTTTAGCAATTTTTTAAAATTTATTTTTACGTATTTTTTTAGTTTCTAGTTATTTAAGTGACTATTGTGAATTCTACCTTTTCTTTAATGGAAGGGTATGAATACATCTGAGGACGACTGTATATATATATATATGTAAATTAAGATATCTTTATCCATTCACTATTATTTAAAGTCTCTTACTGTAGTCATGTCTTACAAACTTTTAAGCATCATAAGTAGTTTTGACGTTTTTTTTTTTTTTTTTTTAAACTTCCTCCTACAATGTCCTCCTTAAATGTCACTGATCTGACATTTTTTGTATTGTCCATATCTCAACTCAAATGGCATCTACAAAAATATCTTTTGTTTAAAGTGATGTCCTTCAATGCAACCTTTACATTGTTTGAAGTATGCTCTTGCAAATGGTTATTCTCATGGTGATAACTGACCTATTTATGACTAAATCCTAAATAATCATTATGTGCTCTTGTTGTTTTGATTTGAGTCCAAGTAAAAACTTGATTATCAACCACGAGACCCTGAAGGATGACTTGTACTAATTCTTAACTTCAATGATCCAAGTGAAAGTCTACGATGAAAAAGCTATGAAATCAAATATGAAGAATGAAACCCTTTTGGCCACAACACAGTTTTTGAACAGAAACCAAACTCAGGCTTTCTCCTTGGTCAAAAGATCTTTTGGTAACGGTCATGATGCCCCCATTACCTCACATTTAGATTAGAGGTAATGAACAACGACACGCTCTGCCTTGCGGTTGCTGCTATGAGTGCATGTGAAGCTGCTTATCTCCACAGATGGCATGTGACAACACACACGCATATTTGAGAGCATCAGCATGTGATGAAAGGAGCACTGTGAAGCTGCAACTGGAACTGTGTGAGAAGGATTGTGCCAGTCAGATAGAGGAAAATAATTCACCCTTTTCTCATCTCTTATCAAGACATCTTTGATGTTTATAGTATTGCACCTATACCACTGATAAGTTGTATTCAAATCAAATTCTAAAGTTTGCCAGTTTTTACGTTTATTTTAAAGACTGGACAACCAACTGGGTGACTTTCAGTGATCCCAAAGCCCCAATATTTTTATTCATGTGCATCAATAATATCTTGTAGAGAGACCTACATGTTTCCTTAAATTAATTACAAAATACAGAGAGTCAACAGAGGCCCCAAAATATTTGTTTTGCTCAATAACCCCAGGTGGATTATTAAAACCCTGCTCATAATCAGGTTTATTTCACCAGTTAACTGATTTAAGCAGCATTTTTGTTATGCTTAATATTCCTCGTGCATTGCCTTGGCATTATGGCTAAAGGATATATTACAGCTAAAATGAAATTAGTACAATATTATTTTCCACAGCAGGCTGCAGTTTCATGTCCATATGTCAGACTGTGCTTCCTTGTTCTGTGTTGCAAGGTGTTAGTTATCATATTTTCCACAAGATGGTGCTGATATCTGTTTCCCCCCAGTGTGTTTCCGCCTTATGCACATTAAAATGTATTGACATCCCATCACAGACTTTTTTTTCTCCTTTCTTTCTTTCTTTCTTTCTTTCTTTCTTTCTTTCTTTCTTTCTTTCTTTCTTTTTTTTTCAATTACCACATGAATCCTGACAACAGCTCTTCAGAACAATCTTTGATCTCCAGCTGTTGCCAGAATTTTTTTTGTCAAACCCTGTCTGTGAAATATTAAAGATTGCCTGGTTTGAATGAGAACAGTGTTCTTTCTTTTTCCGAAAATGACTAAGAATCACAACAGCAGACAGTTGACTTTGCACAGCAGGAAACACACAGGTAGAACTAATAGCATTAATAATGGCCCCATTCCAGCACTTATTGCAATTCATGGCAGCATTTAATAACGTAATTACATATGCGTGTGACACATCCAAATGCCTTCCCTTACTCCTTTTGAAAAATAATTTGTTTGACACACTATCTGGGGGGGGGATATGTTGTTTATACCTGGGGAAAAATATATGACTAATGAAAGATTAGTAAAGAGTCGAAACTTGTTTAGCATGAGGTGAATTGCTGTCTATCTGACTTTTGGAATTTGTGTCTTTGCTGTGACATTCCTCTTTAACATTCAAGAAGTTGAATATTTCTGTAGTATACAGATACTGCAACTATATTATTATTGACCAAGCACAGAACAAAATGTCAAAGGCTACATATAAACAATTAACCACCTTAACTTTTTTTGTGATTTATATTATCTGAAAATGACGTGAAAAGAAGAAGAGTAATCAGTTTAACTCCAACCTGGAACAGACAGTACAGTGAATGTGTTAAAGCACATGGAGCTCCTCTCACATACTTGTTACTTCTGCTTGTCTATGTGATATGGCAACATATACTGTGAGAATACTCCTGAGAGAGCTTTTTTTATGCTAATATTGAAATTATAGGATAAAGCATTGATTAGATTTTGCCTTTTTTGCAGACATTCTCTCAATTGAGTTTGTAGGAAATGTATGTTTTGATAATGTGCAGTTGCCTATTGCATGCATTACTATAATTATAATGCATTATTATTAAGTATTTAAAAACGTGTGTAATGTAGATCTTCTTGTGGACTACTAACCCATATTAGTAGGGGGGTGTCCCATACAAAATGAAAATTAAATTTTTTTTTAGATGCTTAATAATTTGGAAATATGTCCTGTTTTAAAAGCCTGAGTAAAATTCCTCTGAGTCCAGTCCTCATGGGGCCACTCTCTCTTTCTCTTTTTTCAAACATTTTTTTTATTTAACTTTGCGCTCCACCCATGAAAACACAGACATATTTATTTAGTCTGCTCCTACTGTGAAAGTTATTCCCCAGCCGGAGGAGGAGAGACCGTGACATCTTCTAACCAGCGACCCAGTGTGCTTTTCCAACAGTAGTCGGCGTGCTGAGCCAGGAGCTAACAGCAGCCTCTGTCTGTGAGACCTGGGACACCGAGGCGAAGGGGAGAGCTCATTCCACTACACGGCAGTCCTCCATGGCTCTGTGCAACGGAGACAGCAAGGTCAGTGGAGCGGGGAGTACCCGCAGCTCCGGTGCTGGGTGGCCCGGTCGACTTCGTGTTAGGACCCCGGTTGTTGCTGTAGTCCCCCCGGTTAATTACGGCCTGTGTGTACCTCGGGGGGAAAGTTAGGGAGCATGTAACGTTATCAACTGTATCGCTGAGGAGCAGTGAGTACGCTGCTGTGTGCCTGTTGCCGTATTACATTAACATGTTGCTCATAGCTGCTAACTAGCGGGACTGGATATCTCAGTGATGTTTAGCATTTCAAGTCTTTATTTTATCACCAAACGCGGCTGTCTCCTTCTCATGGTGGATCCCCTCCAAGACCTTTCAGCTCCAAGCACCGCGTGGGTTTTAGCATAGCTCCGCTAACCTAGCTGGACGCGCAGCTAACAGGCTAATGCTCATTACTACTGTTTATTCTGTCGGGGAGCTAGCTCGCTACACTGGTCATTTGTTAGCTAGCTTTAGCCGGGCAGTCAGAATTTGTAGTGACAACACTGCTATGCCTAAATCTCATATTATGATAGCTGTGGCGTTCATTTGGAAAACTGAAATGGAGCTTGTGGCAGACTAATCTATTTCACTCGGCTGCTGTCATACACTTTAAGCTAACCTAACGTTAACTGTCAGTTTGCTAATGTCGTCACTAAGCTAGTACGAGCCAACTTGCGGTTACCGGTCTGACAACCGGAGCTACTACTGCTGTGTTACCAGCTGATCCGGTGAAGTTTGCTCTAAAACGACAGAGAATTTTTCTTGCTGTCGTGCTGCTTCACCTCCCGTGATTGCTGATTTTGTTTTGTAACGGTTGCACTCCACTTTAGATCAGAAATCGGAGATGACGGGTTGCAGGGGTAAGGCAACTTGTTTTCAGTAACATCCTCGGAAGTGTTTCCTCTTACCACGTGGGATCATGTTTCTCTTCTTCTTGCCGCCCTTGTTTACCCACTTTTGCTCTTTATGGAGATTAGCTATCTGTACTGAAGTTTGCTTCCTAAACGTGCATATGTTAATATGTCATATCATCATTTACTTCAAAAACTATCATACAAGGAGAAACACCGTACTGGATAGAAACAGTGTAGTCTGCCAGAGTTTAAATTGCAGCACTAATAACCATTGAAAACTTGTGGGTTTCATGTGATTGTCCTGATGGCCTTAATGGTTGCAGCACGTTTCAAAAGAGTGACTGTCTGTCTGCGTAGTAGCTCACGAGTCCATAATTATGTTAGGCCAAATTGAGTCACATTTTCCATGGGGATGTCAGAGGTGGACCACAGTTAAATCTAGAAGGAATTGGTTCCCTTATGCCATCAATCATCCAAACCACTCCAAACTTTTGATCCTAATCCTGTTCATATATAATCTCTAGAAAGATGATCTGTCTGTGTAGATTCATTGTCATCCAGTCCATGGTAATCCTAGGAGTATCACTAAAACTGGATGTCTGGTTTTTTTGTTTTGTTTCTTGAATACATTTCACCTCTTGTTCAGGAGACTTCTTCAGTTCTGAAATGTGCAAAGAAACACGAACAACAACACTGTGTATTTTTCAAAATGTTTTTCCACAGCTGGAGGTCAGCAGCGCAGAGCAGAATGGGTCATGTGAGGGAGCGGTGGCCATCCTAGATGCAGGAGCCCAGTATGGGAAGGTGATTGACAGGCGGGTGCGAGAGCTGTGTGTACGCTCTGAGATCCTCCCCTTAGAGACCCCGGCCTTTGCTATAAGAGAACAGGGCTACAGGTGAGAATGAAAAGCACGTGCATCAGACCTGTTATATGCCGTCAGCATTTTTATCACAAGATTCTGTCAATATTGAAGTGTTGAAAGTGCTTTATAATGCAATTTGAGTTGATTGTTTTCTCTCTCTTTCACTCCTTAGGGCAATCATTATTTCAGGAGGTCCAGCTTCTGTGTATGCAGAAGATGCCCCCTGGTTCGACCCTGCCATATTCACTATAGGAAAGCCTGTCCTTGGGATTTGCTATGGAATGCAGGTACCTATGCACATGTAGACATACACACAATATATAACTCGAATGGTATGATTTTGTATCGTGATAGGTAAACCATCCTTCCTCCAGAAGGATTTTGTTCAAGGAAACATTTATGTTACACAAATTACCTTTGAATAGCAATGCATCTACTATCACTCTACGTCAAGCTGCCGTTCAGCTCTCCTGCGCCGGCTGGGATTTCACCACCTTCTTCAAGGGTGCTTTGACACTAGCTAAGAAAGATGAGAGTATTACTCACTCACTTTACTCAACTGGCCTGAAAATTAAAACCAGCAGCTTCTCAAGCACATTTATCTAAACAGCAGACCATTGTATCATTGCTTTAATCACACTGTAACAAAGTGTGTGTCCAAGTATTGACTCTGCTATACGCGTGTGTGTGTGTGTTACAGATGATGAATAAGGTTTTTGGCGGCACAGTCCACAGAAAGAGTGTAAGGGAGGATGGAGTGTTCAGTATTGGCCTGGACAACACTTGTTCCCTTTTCAGGTATTGTGGTTTTCTCTTGTGGACAGCAAGAGGTCTTTTTTATTTTATTTGTTTGTCCGAAGCATTATCATACAGGGGGTCAGCAAAAATATGAGTCACACTGTTGAATGTAATACAGTCCAATACACCACCACTACCACCCACTATGACCTGAATAAACACCAACAAGAACTGAAAATGTAGAAGCTCTGTAAAAGTAGAACAGAGCTGTATATTGGATTGAAGTAGATTTTATGATCATACCAAGTGAAGTGGCTGGTGAGTATATGTTTACAAAACATTAGTATTCCACCTACTTATAAAGCTGTTAATTGTAACATTCAGTATATCTGCATGACGTCTCTTCAAAAGCCACATGGAGCACTGTAGGTGAGCTCATTTATGTGTTGGTAGCTGTGACTGAAGCTCCATATGTTTACATGCTATGCTGCACCCTATCAGGTTCTGTGACCTGATTAGAAATTTCAGCTGTGTTGCTATTGTATAAGCTTTTGTAGGGTCATATTCGATAGACTGAACGGAAAGTGAAGGCCAGTAGGTGTACATATATGTATTTACAGCCAAAGCACAGCCTCTCAGTTGAAATGGATCACTTGACAAATTTTTTTATGAAGAGCAAATCATATAAAAACGAATAATGGCAAATACAATTCATTGTACTTTTAGAGATAAATTATTAGTGTCACATTTGACACCTTGAATGCTGGTCAGTCAGAAATATCAACACTTATTTTGTTGATGTAATCAGCAAGAAAATCCATCTCTCATATATTCATTTTGTCGCAGATAGCCCTCGTAATTGCCTGCTGTCATACCGTTAATATGAACGATAAAGAAATTGACTTCTTACAGTGACTTTGCAGTACCATTCCTTTTTTTTCCCTCAGAACAAAGCGTTGCAGATAGTGTATAAGACATGACTGCTGCCTGACTGGTTTGTCCCAGTGCCATATTTACTACATAAACTGCAGAAGTGTTCCAGCATTCACATAGTAGTAGAGTCAGTAGAGTCAAAAGTGGAAGGCTGCAGTCTTCTTATTACCGTCTGTTTTGCACTCTTAACTTACTGAAAACAGTAACTGCACACATGTAACTTATCATATGTATATTAATGTTCCTTCAGTGTATCCCTCTGACGCATGTGCATGTGCGTGTTTATCTTATCAGAGGCCTTCAGAAGGAGGAGCTGGTCCTGCTTACCCATGGAGACAGTGTAGACAAAGTGGCTGATGGCTTCAAAGTGGTGGCCCAATCAGGGAACATCATTGCTGGTGAGCAGCATACATATTCGCTTTTACTCTGGTTAACATGGCGTAAAACTTTATTCTCATCATGATTTATGTGCAACTGTTTTTTTTAATGTTTGAAAAGCTCAGGTTGCGTGGTTTGTATTTACATCTGAGACTCTGAGATAAATGTTAAACTTGTATTTTGAGTTGTAGTATTTTTTGTATTTTTTTGTAGTTTTTGTTTCCCTGTCTGGTTAATGCTTTGGTTTATGTTGATACTAGTAACGCATCAATGAATTGTGTAAAAGTGGCATTCGGCATTCCCTTAAAACATCTCTGTTTTCCAAACCAGGCATCGCCAACGAGCAAAAGAAGCTGTATGGGACACAGTTTCACCCCGAGGTTGACCTAACGGAGCGAGGCATGGAGATGCTGCGTAACTTCCTCTTTGAGATTGCAGGATGCACAAGTAACTTCACTGTACAGAACCGCCAACAGACCTGCATCAATGAGATCAGAGAAAAAGTAGACAAGTCTAAAGTTCTGGTAAGAGGGAAACTGCTCAAATCTTTGTGAATGTAATAATATTCAAACCTTTTTTTTTTTTTGGGCAGACTTAAAAAAAAAAAAGTAAGAGAAATATTTTCTTGGCACATTTTTATCTTACTATGGGAGATAATTTGGCTGAAAGTCTAATGCTGGGATGCACAGTGTGAAGTGTGGTAGCCGCTCAGAAAGTGGTGACAGCAGCAATGGTGGGAAGTTAAGTAGAACCAATTAAACTCTCAAATTAAACTGTGTTCTATCTGAAAAGAGGTAGTCATCTCCCTGTGCGGCTTCAAACTAGGCTTCATCTCAGGGGAGTGTAAAGGCGATAAATGAGTGTGGAAAACAGACTCAAAGCAGAGAATTTATACTGTTTCTTGTTCTTCAAATACAGTGTCTGGGATAGATTTATCACTATTTTATACTATACTCTTACTTTGCTGAAGCTTTTTCCTACAGCAAGTATGTCATTTTGGATGATTGCCAAGAGCTGGTAGTCCGCTAATTAGGCAGAGTCACGGCTGTAATATTCTCTCTCTCTCTCTTTTTTTTTTTTTACACTTAATATTTTACAACCTGCCAGCAGATGAAACACTAGATATAAATAGGAGTCATAAAATGAGAAGCTGAACTAAAAAGAAATTATACATATACAGTTAATTTAATGGTTGACAACTGGTGACGAGTGGTTCGGATTCGATCTGAGACTAGCAGATCACAACCTCGAGTCTAAAGGCACTGTTTTTGATTATATCTTCAGGTGCTACTGAGTGGTGGAGTAGACTCAACAGTTTGCACAGCCCTTCTCAACAAAGCTCTGAACCAGGACCAGGTGATAGCAGTTCACATTGACAATGGCTTCATGAGGAAGAGAGAGAGTCAGAGTGTGGAGGAGGCCCTCACCAAGCTGGGCATCAAACTCAAAGGTAAGGACCAAACTGCAAGTGATCTTGTTGTAGAATAGAATAGAATAAAACTTTATTGATCCCTTCGGTGTAAACCTCAGGGAAATTGTTGATATTTATGTACAGTTGCTGCAGAAATGATGATCTAACAGGAGTTCCTCATGAAGTCAAATTAGAAATTTATTAGACAATCATAGTTTTTTATTGCCCTTATTACACATCAACATGTTAGTATACTTATTTTGTCTTTAATAGGTTCCTTTCTTTGCATTTCTCATAATCCTATTGTATCTTCTGCTTTTTTCTTCTCAAAAATATTTCTTCCTTCAGTGGTAAATGCAGCACACACTTTCTATAATGGAACAACAACCCTTCCCATCTCTGACGAGGACAGGACGCCACGGAAACGCATCAGCAAGACCTTGAATATGACCACCAACCCTGAGGAGAAAAGGAAAATTATTGGAGACACGTTTGTCAAAGTGAGTACCAGCTTTCAAGGGATTCTCATATGGAATGTGCCACATATATTAAAATTCCATCTCACCCTGCCAGCCAGCGTATCTACCTTGCTTTTCTTACAGTACATCAACATTTTACACATTTCCAGTTTAGCTGAATTCTTTACTACACATTTCTATGCGTCAGTCAATATGACAGTTTTATTCTTTACTTCACCACTTCCAGTTTGTGAATTATGTATGCTTCACAGGTGGCAAATGAAGTGATTGGAGAGATGAATCTGAAGCCCGAAGAGGTTTTCCTGGCCCAGGGTACCTTGAGGCCTGACCTCATTGAGAGTGCCTCTCATCTTGCCAGCGGCAAGGCGGAGGTCATCAAAACACACCACAACGACACTGAGCTCATCCGCAAACTCAGAGATGAGGTATTGCATACATACACATAAATACCAACATGATCAATTTACAGTCATTTTTACAGTTGCTCACAGATTCTGTTGAATGTTGTTCATCACCAAAACCAAATTCATAATGATCATTACTCTATAAGCATTCCACTAACATGTCATTATATCTTCACATTGACTTCTCATAGTGGAAAACACATTGCACAACCCCTGTGGTTAAAATACAGCACAAATCAAATGCTGTTGTAGTCTAGAGCAGAGATTATGAAAGTCCAAAAACATCTAAGTATACTGCAAGAAGCACTGACGCTTCAGTAAAAGACATTCATTTTTCTCCTTATTAGCTATTTAATGTTCATATACTGTTTGGTGTTTTTGTTGGTTTGCTCAGCCCTTTCAAATAAATGCACAACTCTGCAACACCTAAGCATATCCTACACTGTTGCAATGCTGATTCCACTCCTTTGTAATCCTCCAGGGAAAAGTAATCGAACCACTGAAAGATTTCCATAAAGATGAGGTCAGAGCGCTGGGCAGAGAGTTGGGTCTGCCAGAAGAGATTGTCTCTCGGCATCCATTCCCTGGCAAGTACATAAACACACACATGCCTGTTATGTAACTGTTCTGAGCAAACTTAATAAAGGTAATTTGTATCAATATAACGTTTGATGATACTGGATTTTGATCTCTGTCTGCTTGTGTCGTTTTGGGTGATCTGTCTTCTTTCCATCATGCAACCAGTTACTGATTTATTCAGACAGACTCAAAGCTTCACTGCGTTTTAACACGTCACTCCTGTATGTGCTTAAAAGTGATTGATCATTCTCTTTTCCTTTAGGTCCTGGTTTGTCCATCAGAGTGATTTGTGCAGAGGAGCCTTACATCTGTAAGGATTTTGCTGAAACAAACAACATCCTCAAAATCATTACAGACTTCTCTGCAAGTGTCAAAAAGGTCAGTGAATTACAATACCTATAGAAATCTAATATTGATGTGTGACCAGGGTTGGATCTACTGGGGTGGCATGGGGTGGCTTCTGCCACCCCTAGAAGAGTTCCGAACTATCTAATTCAAAAATATATAAAAGGTTGTGGCCGGCTGGAAAGAGCGAAAGTCCAGATAATGTTTCAGTGTTTGCACTCAAGCAAAATTCTGAGTAGTACATGTAATGGCAGATTATTGAAAAAGCTCACCTCAGCTGGCACTGACACTGTAGATTTTGTGACATACTATATTAGAGGTAGTACACAGATTGAAACAAGTCAAAAACAGTTACAGGACTGAAGGAAAGCTTCCATTTTCAGTGACTCAACATCTTACAAATAATATGCGACCTGTTGAGCTAAATGTATGCACCTGAAGCCTACAAAGTCAATCGACTCAAAGCATCAAGCTACATCAAACTACTGATGAAAAATGTGGTCAATAAAATGCTACCAAAAAACATACAGTGCATGGGCTTGTCTAATTTGTTGCTGTGAACAATCCATCAGCAACTCCCTGTGTTTGTTTTTTTTTAGCCACAAGATTTATTTGTCAGTTGCCCTTTCATTTAATTTACTTCATTTTTTTAATAAAGAAGTCAAATAGAAAAAGGGCAGTGGAAACTCTGTCTCCACACCAAATAAGAAGACCTTTGTTACTGTTTGTTCTTTCTAGTTTAATTATGAAGTTAATAATGTGCAGCCTCTGCTGGTCGGTTAGACACATTGCACAAACAGGCAAATACCCAAGACATTTAAAACATGTAATATGTCGAGTTGGTTTCTGATGTTTGGGTTTTCACATTGCTGCTTAAAGAAGGAGCTTTACACATCACCCTGAAACATTTGTTCAGAAATAACACAATGTATGGTCAGAACAAAGACCGTTCATGATCAATTTTATTTTTCACAAGAGTGTGTCTGCTTGTTGTCAGACATTACAAAACAGGGAATCATTATGAGGAACAGCTGTACATGTGAAGTTCAAATCTGAAGTGGGTTATGGATCAGTACTTGTGTAATTTTACTGAAAAAGCTGACGAACACCCTGTATGCTCTTGTGAAAGTGCAAATTGGTGTAACATTTGATGTGACATTTCAAAAAAATAAATCAGGGACGGTGTATTAAAACAGATGGTGAAGTGCAAGTGTGATCAGTTAGTTGCAGAATAGAGCAGCACTGGTCAATATGTTGCCGTCCGTTCAGTTCCATATTCACAAGCTGCTTGTGTTTCCTCTTCAGCCCCATGCCTTGCTGCAGAGAGTCAAGTCATGCATATCGGATGAGGAGGAGGAGAAGCTCATGCAGATCACCAGCCTTCATTCACTCAATGCCTTCCTGCTGCCCATCAAAACTGTTGGTGTCCAGGTGAGTCTGTTAATCACAAAGCATATAAAACCTTATCAGTCACTCTGTATGTTTATGTCATCAGTTTTTTTTTTTTTTTTTTTACCCAAATCAATAATCCCTCAATAAAATGCATTCAACAGAAATGGCTTGCACACAGTAAATTAAGTTGAGATGGGTTTTATTTAAAATTTATGGATCCACTAGGGCTGAACGATATGCAAATAAAAATACAATTAAAAAAATCTGAATTTTCAAAACTTTTTTTCCCCTGATATTCTATTTGATATTTCTTTTGACAGAAACTGTGATACGAGTCATGGCTTTAGTGGGAATGGTTATTTCTGTATTTCTTTTTAACTGAAACAAATCTTAAATGAACATGATTTTTCCTGCGATCTGTGCCAAACAAGCATGCTTCTTTCCATCTGGATATTTCTTTCTTTTTTCTTCTTCTTTTTTTTTCTTCCAAAACTGCACATCAGCGTCTATCATCACCTGTTCTACATTATGTTGTAGAACTCTTCTTTAAGACCCATCCAATAATTTGAAAGGTTAATCCAAGTATAACTCATTTATTGTTTGTTTGGGACATCTGAGCTGTTGCATATACGTGGGGAGCCCCATTGTTTTTAGAGACAGTGCGGCCTTGAAAAGTATGTGTCACTAGGGGTCCGTTTCACAAAACAGGTTCAACAGACTCTGAGTCTAATCCTGAACTCTGAGTTGAGCTACTCTGAGATAGGAAACTCTGAGTTTCCGGTTCCAGAACAGCACATTTGAGTTAGTTTAATCAACTCGAAGTAGTTTCACCTGGAGTTAAGCGCGTGTAACACAACTATAAAAAGCCAGCATCAATGGAGCCCCGATTTGACAAGTCTCCATGGCAACGGGGAAGGGGAGGGCTGAGTTTTTCACCACAGTAGAACTGGAAATCTTAATGCTCAAATATTACGAATTTGAACACATTTTTAAAAAGTAGTGCAACAATGCTGCAGCTGCAAAACAGAGGGAGACATTGCTGCTCGGGTCAGTGCGAAAATTTAAATGTCTTCCTTTGCAATCACAATAATATGACAGGAAAACTGCTTGAATGGTAGCCTATCAATTTATTTCATTTAGGTGCAATCCCACAGGGGAGAAGCGCACTTGGCAGCAGCTTAAGATGAAATATAAAAACGTTGTTAAAGTCTGAGGTTGCAGCACAATGTCATTAACAGAATATATTTTAAAATTAATTGAACAGATCACTACATCATTCACCTGCTGTAGAACTCCGTGATGGCTCTGACAGGTTTATGTCCAGAGAAAATGACAAAGATGGGTAAAAGCCGTTTTCAGTGCTCTGAATCTCCGACAAAAAAACTTCCATTTGCAAAGAAACGCAGAACAACACACAATATCTGCTGGGATGTGAGAGCACGACTACGCTTGGTAATGCTGCACATGTAAGGACGGATTAGGTTGTATGTAGATGATGGACTGTGACGTGAAACGGTACCGCTCAACAAGATAACTGTCTGAAATGCTAGAACATCTATGTGCAGTCTGATAACCATCTCCAGACCAATATTTAGTTCTCTGCGCAGTAATGCTGCACCTTCCTCCACGGGATTGTTATCAAAAGGACATGCCATGTTAGTGAAAACAGTCGCCACCTACTGTGCCTAATGGACTTGTAGTATATCCTGCTGACTCTGATTTATGTATTTATTTATTTTTTGTTTTTGACAGAAGGCAGAACTAGGCTACACCAAAACTCGCCTGCTGACTGAGTGAATGAATTAGGAAATCAAATAACGTGTGGCTGAAAGAGGGGGGAGACAGAGAGGACCTCAAGGTTCATTGAGAAAAACCTGGTCCTGACCAGGTTAGGTTCATAGAGTCGCTTACTATGGTAACTGACTGAGGTCTTAAGTTACCTCTCTCTGTGAAACAGGCTAGAGTTACCCCTCTTCCTCTGATTTGAGTTACCTCCCTTTGTGAAACGGAAAACTCAGAGTTTCCCTCATTTCAGGGATACCAGACTCAGAGTTTTCACTAAACCTGCTTTGTGAAATGGACCCCAGCTGTTTGTCTCTTGTTGTGTTATAACTATAATTAAGTGGTCAACCACAAGACACACCCACACAAAGCTTCCCACATTCCCTCTTTTTGTTTCTCCTTGAGCCAAGGAAGGATTTGCTTTGTAGAAATGATTAAACATGACCAAAAAGATCCCACTTTCCAATAGTCAGAACTGACCTTAAGCATTGCTTGGGCAGAAGGGATCGTCATGACGATTTTCCTCACCCAAACATTGCAGACAGCCAGCGACTGTGTGTATCTTTGTGTAGGTGTGTCCAGAAAGCCAGAGAGTTAAATTTGCTCCAAACCTCAAATTGTGGGGCAGACAGGAGACGGTAGACAAACACTAGCAGCTTTCATTGCCTTAGCTGAAAGTGGAAACATACAACTCAGACATTTCACTGGTTAACACAAGAGAAGAGCTTTTTGTGTTAAATAGACTTTTGTTTGGATTTTATTTTGTGTACCTCTGTGAAAACATTATAATGAAAAGGCAATCTTGTGTCTCAGGGTGACTGCCGGTCCTACAGTTACGTGTGTGGCGTCACAAGTAAAGAATCTCCACACTGGGAATCGCTCATGTTCCTGGCCAGACTCATCCCTCGCATGTGCCATAGCATCAATAGGTAATGCACGCATCTTTGTTTACAGATTCCCTCCTCGTCTGTCCTCAGTGACTGGAAACATTAGAATTCAGTGTTGTTAATGATCAGTTGACCATATGAGCCCATCCATTCATTAATTCACTCATGTCTCTCTTTCTCTCAGAGTTGTGTATGTATTTGGATCCCATGTGAAGGAGCCGCCAACAGACATTACCCCAACTTTCCTGACCACAGGCGTTCTGAGCACGCTCAGACAGGCTGACTTTGTAGCTCATTCTATTCTTAGAGAGTCTGGTAAGTGTGTGTACCACAGTGATTTTAGACCTTAAAGCCCTGTGTATTCTGGGATTTCAAATGGAAAGGAAGTATATGAACTTAATAAAAATTCTAAGACTAGAGACAATAGAAAGTGTTTCTCTGTTGTGAAAACAAGCAGTGTCATCACCCAGAAGTGAATGAACTAAGTAAAGAGTTTACCTTGTACTTATGCAGATAAGTAGTTGTGATTTGTTACATTTGCAACAGAGAGTGTGTAAAGTACATCGGTCTTGACTCAACTGTGGGAGCAGTTTAAGTAAACACAAGAAAGATTTGATTGGATTACCAGGTATTTGCTTGACGTCTTTACTTTGGTGACTGGCTATGATTCAGCTTGGTATTTGACTGCTCTAATTTAAGGTTAAAGAAAAAAAAGGTGAATTTGAATATTATGGTTCTGCATCTTCACATTTCTATAAATGGACCTGTAATAACCATGTGTGCTAAATTTTGTTTAGAATTATCTGCCACTAAGGACTATTTTTCTGATGATTAATCTATTGACTGTTTTGTTCACGTTAGTTAATCTTAAAAACAACAACTAAGTTTCTCCCCCCAAAAATCTCATTTACTGTTTCATTTAAATTCATTTTATGTAGCATTTTCAGCTTTATGAGTGTATTTAGCAGCCACAAGGACACAAGACACTGAAGAGCTCCACACTAATGAATAGGCAACACTCAAGGTGGTTTTGCCTTATCTAGCAGGGCATTTTTCAGAATCGTGCAAATGGGTGTTGATGATTTTGTGGCAATCAGTATGTTTCTACACATTCAAACTATGGAAAAGATGATCAGTCTCTTTTTTTCGTAAAGTTCATTCACCTTTTTTATTGGTACACAGTGAACATACAGTTGATAGACCAAGAAAAGTAAACTGAAAATAATGGGTTTAAGCATTAGACATTGGCTCTGATAATCACACCATTACAATTTGACGTACCCGATCTAACTATTTCTTTGCATTTGCACCCACAATAAATGTTTTGTGTCCACTATTCACATACACAAAGACACAAAAATATTTGAAAACTACTCTCTTCTACCTTCAGGCTATTCCGGCAAGATCAGTCAGATGCCGGTCATCCTCACCCCCCTGCACTTTGACCGTGACCCGCTGCAGAAGCAGCCGTCTTGCCGGCGCTCCGTGGTGGTCCGCACCTTCATCACCAGCGACTTCATGACAGGCATCCCAGCCATGCCGGGCAACCATATCCCAGAGGAGGTATACCATAATGTAACCTCTCAACTTAGTGATAGCATCTCTGCAGATTCAGTGGCATCAGCTTCCATCATAGCAATTATTTAGGTTTGGATATTGCAAAATGTCGGTCCAAGATTTACTCAATGATTTAAATCCCAAGCATTTTCTAGATGTTCTTTGATCCTGTCACATTTTTTCTCAGTGCAGGCTCAGTTTTCACTGCAATATAAAGTTTAGCACCTCTATGGAAACCACACAACCATGAATAGAGGTATATTGTGCAGTATGACAAAATTATAAGCCATAAAAAAGCAAAACATTTTCCAAAACGGAAAAATGGTTATTCTGCATAATAAAGATATTTTCTGATTGATAAATGGTTGACAATTTTGACAATTTAAAAAAAATAACGCGTTTCAAACCAACTGATGGGTTTTGGGGTTCAGTGGGTCAAGTAAGGAGCATCTTAATGTTTCCCTTGAGTTCAGTGTTTTAGAAGTGGTCTGCTTTGTTGTCTGTTTGACCAGGTGGTGCTGAAGATGGTAAATGAGATCAAGAAAATCCCAGGCATCTCCAGAGTCATGTATGATCTGACCTCCAAACCACCCGGCACCACAGAGTGGGAATGAAGTGCAAACATGGCATCGAAGCAACACGCACTCACACACACACACACACTGCACAAACACACTCAACAGATTACAGTGAGGGCTGGTGAACTGCTCTCCTTTTCTATCCTTCCTCCTTTACCCTCCTCCCCTTCTCCTTCCACCTCCCTCCTGTACCTCCCCCCTCTCTTCAACATTCCCATGGACGGCAGACCGTACTGTGACTGGTGCACACGCAAAGGCGCCACTGCTCTGCTCTCCCCCACCACTTTTCCCTGGTCTTAATATTTTTGGCGATAGGGATTAATTAATGTCAGTTATTGATAATATATTGTCATTTTTGATTCATGTACCACAATGCATTTCCTCGCTGTGATGAAAAGGTAAATTGCTGCTTCCTTTTGTGAGGTCACCCATTAAAGGCAAGTGGCGAGAAGCTGTGAAAGTTCAGTAAGTGGACTTGATGTCGTGCCTCAGGATGCATTATAGGATGAGTAAAACATAAAAACAAGCAAACGACAAGTGTCATGAAAAGAAGCGACAGCAGAAGGCGGGGAGGAGTTTGAAAATTGTCATTGTTTATTTTCGTCGGATGTTTTTGTTTTACTGTTGTAGGTCAGAATGTTCTCAGCCTAAGACTATCCTCTCAATTCGTTCAGTTTCACTTTCTGCCTGTATACTGTGCTATGACGAAGGTCGTCTGAACAGACAGCCTATGTGACCAATCAACAATTTTTAAGCTTTTTGTTTTGCCAAAAGTAGAATATGCTGTAGTTATCTATAACATTGTGGGTTCCTGACGATCTTCTCCAAGCTACATTTGTCGACAAGAGCTGTTGACTTGTTGCCGTACCCATCGTGGACGGCAGTCAACCCAAGAATAGCTTCGGTGTAATGACTCGTGCAGCTGTGGAGGAGGCCAATATGATGGGTAACTTTGTATGTGCCTGTTCTGTTCTTGGTTTTTCTTTGGTGTGACCTGACCTGGACTCTGATGTTTCCAGAAAGGAGGATATAACACTGTTTCTCCTCATGCTGCAATATGTATGCTTTTTATGAAGAAGAATAAAAAGGCAAGAGGACTAATAACAAAATTATAAGTACAGTAGAGTTTATAACCACATTGTGTCAGTTGCTGTTGTCACTTCATCATGATTTGGCTGCTCTTTTGTTGTGCCGGGGCACATTTTTTTGCACGTTGTCTTGTTCACTCATAAAGCCTTGGTGCTTTATCAGCATAACAAATCAGACATCCAGTGGAAACTTCACCACCTTAAGTGTGTCACTCTGTAGTGTCAAAGGTCAAGTTAAGAGTACCGTCTGTTGCCATCTCCAGCATAAGTTCACTGTGTCTCAAAAAGGCATTACTGCTTCATGTATTTGTGTTCTGTACTGTCAGAACATTCAGCGCATCATAATCTTTAGTCTTGTCGTTTAAACCTCAGTGGATACAGTGCTCAGGTTTAACTGAGTTTTAAAAAGTGTATTGTACCCCGTTAGAGACATTTCACTCAGATGTGGTGGTTCTCATGCCTCCAGAATTTGTTTTTGTGCCTCTCATCCCTCTGTTATATCCTTAACCTTTAGTGGCAAAATACTCCTAATGCAAAATGAATGGTTTTCCTAACTTGTCTTAACTGCTATTAGTGTTTCTCCCTCTGTTCTGCCTTTATTTTGTGTATTTTTTGTTACATATGTCTTCATAGAAAGCAACCGCTAATAATGGTCATATTACTTTGTAGTTGAATTTAATTGAAATATCAATAAGATTAAGTTATGCAATTTTATGTCTGAAATTTTTTGTTTTTGTTTTTTCATTTTTGGTCAACAATGCTCATTCTCCTTAGTAACGTGCCTCAAACCAAGCCACTGCATGCAGTTTCAACTATGACATTTGTACAATGGAAAACTGAGCTTTAATAAAGATCTCAATGTTGAAACTTCTCACTTCTATAATGAACAACTTATCTGCTTTTAACCGCAATTATTAAAAAAAAAAATCGTTCAACATACTCTGACAACATAATCTTATCATTTTTGTGTTATTAGGGTCCGAGGACCCGCAGGGCAAGGACCCCTATTGTTCCTGCTGCGTTTCTTTCTTTCTTCTTATTTGCCTGACCAACGCGAAAACCTTAATTTGACCCCCTAAACACGCTCAAAAACTCACCAAAATTGGCACACACGTCCGAATCGGACGTATGGGTGTCTATGGTGGCATGTGCAGACATGCTGTGTCAGTTGGTCATCTACTCAAAAAACTAAAGGTCCTACAGCTTTAAAAATGACACTGAGAGCTTCCAAACAAGATTTCCCACAAAAATATGCTGTTTTTACACACATTTGGTGAAAATTGTGGCTGTATGGGAGAGTTAAAGTGAGTGAAAATGTCACTCTCTCACCCAGGGACATGCTGAACGATGACATCATCACAGCTCAGTGCAGCTGGTCATGTGACTCACTGACAGTCTGAGGCTGAGAGGAGAGAGAAAAATGGCTCCTTCAACTTAAAGCAGGTTTAACTTGAAGAACGGTCAGACGGGCATGAGGGTCCAACGCAGACCGAGGACCCGACCAACGCTGCTTGCAGCTTTAATTTTATATTGTTATTTCACACCTGGGGACAAATTTGGGGTCAAAAATACTTCCAGCAGGGGCTAAAATGAAGAAAATCAGAGTTTATGCTTGACTGAAGCTGTCAAATATGCAGCCAAACCCCAAATTCAGTGTTAATGTACTATAATAGAAAAGCTTTACGTAAGAGTGAATAAGCAGGAAATGTAATGCTTCCTTCGGGGTTAGCCTAATTCTTGACTTGAATATGGAAGTTGTACTTTTATTATAACCGAAGGAAAAAAAAAAGAGAAATAATAATGAACAAATTCCACTTTTTCACAACTTCAAAAAGGTTTAAGTATATTAGGAAGATGAAATACAGTGAAAAACAACTCGATAGGGTGTGTCATGGGGATATGCCCCTGTTTTCCATTTAACAATGTGTCTCTTTCAAAGTTACTGCACAGAGCTGCTCTTTGATATTAGCAGTTCTGCAAATGTCTGCATATAATTGATTTGTCACAGAGCTCATCAATCTGCCTGACGCTGATCACAAGGGCTCCATTACACACTCAAACACTCTAAAGGCAGTTTTCATCATCAAAAACTCCACATGCAACACATCCAAATGTCTCCTTCCTTTTAAGATTTATGCTTTCTGTGTGAAATTTTCCCATCAGCACAATATAATGCAAGAACAGTCACATCTACTGTAAACTGCTGTATTACTGAAAGAAAGTTTACAGTGTCATTCATCAGGAGCCTATTTGTGTCAGCAGTCTGTCCTCGTTGCCCAGAAGGCGTCCCTCTGTGTGCCGGGGGTTCAGGTGTGTGTTGCTCCCACTTGACTGAGAGACAAGAGCAGACAAGTTCAGTCAACCGTCCACACGCTGCAGACCAGATCTCAGGAGACGAGGCACGATTTTGGAACAGTCGCTGTGCTGTAACATTGCATAAAGGCTGTACAAGTCACCACATGCAGCTGCCAATTAACTACTGGCCTGTGGCAGTTCAGACTAATGAAGTGATATTTGCAGGAGGAGAAACGAGTGAGGACAGAAATGAGATGAAATGATGGAGATGTTTCTTGGAATTTATTTGAGCTAGAAGTGTGTTTTTGTGCATATTTGGAGAACAAGGGTTCAGTTTGTGTTCATGACGAGGAAATTAAACCACCCTTTTGAATCGCATGTGATTTTATGTATCATTAATGATAGATATTACTGCTTGGGTGTTTATTAGATTGAAGAAGTCGTTCTTGTTTATGTTCACATTAGATAAAGATGCCATCAGCTGATCACTGTAACCCAAAGTCCTCTTCTTCAGCTTTGCACCATTGAATCTGTTGGGTTACCTTGTGCAGCACATCTCCCTAGAGGCCACATAAGATACCTGCCACAGGTTGCTGCCTCCTTTGCTGTCTGCTGTAGAGAAAGAGCTCTCACTACTCCCTTCTGTGTTTACATAGCATGGAAATCAGACGCTTTTTGCTTGGAATATGTACCTTTTTCTTTGTCTACAGATCTCTTTCAGCACAGTCCACATGCAAGCTGAAGGCCAAGTTCAACCTGAGCGGCTACAAGGATGTGGAAAAGAAGAAGGTCGTTATTGGGGGGATGTTTCCAGTTCACAAGCGTATTGCTTCCAGTGATGGCAACACTTCAAGGGTGCCTGTCTCCTCGGGGTGTGAGGGGTGAGCTGAGCCAGATTCAGTCTGTTCATGTGTTCTTTTTCATCATTGTGATTGTACTGGTTTACACGCTAATGGCTTAATTTGTCGTCAAACAAATGATATATAATGTTAAAAGCTACATTTTTAAATATTTTAGTGCTTTGCTGATAAATAATTTTAGCTTGATTATGTATTTCAAACACACAGTGCACTCCTGAGTCTCTTAACCTAATTTTTTTTTTTACTACAGAAATCAAGATAGAGCTGTGCAGCACCTCTGGGGCCAATTAGCTTATTATAGAGACAGGACTTTAAAGTGTAGTACGCAACAATAATCAGCAAGTCTGTGAACTGCTAATTTAGGTAGTAACACTGAAAGACAAAAATAGTCTGCATACATCTTCCAGTTTTCAAGTATTTTAATTTGGAACATATTCAGAGTGTGGATCTGAGTTTCTCTTGCTTTCTTTTTTTAAAAAACAAAACAAAACTGTTTGTATAGAAATGTGTTGTTTTTCCATCACTGTCTCAACATCCTCCAGATTTAACTTCCGTACCTTCCGCTGGACCCAAACAATGCTGTTTGCCATCAATGAAATTAATAAGAAGACTGATTTGCTGCCCAACACTGACCTGGGTTACGTCATCTATGACTCCTGCTTCACCATCTCCAAGGCAGTTGAGGGCACCCTGACCTACCTGACAGGCCAAGACGAAGCTGTACCCAACTACCGATGTGGCACTGGGGCACCACTGGCTGCTCTAGTGGGTGCAGGGGGCTCCGATCTGTCCATTGCCACTGCTAGGATACTTGGACTTTACCATTTTCCACAGGTACGTAAATGATGAGTGGCATAGTAGAAGGAAAACAAACAAAAAGAGACCTCATGTTGTTTCTCCCTTTCATCTTTAGGTCAGCTATTCTTCAACTTGCTCTGCTCTGGAGAGTAAGTTCCAGTTCCCCACCTTCTTAAGGACCATTCCCAATGACAAGCACCAGTCTTCAGCTATGGCCCAGGTGGTGCTACATTTTGGCTGGACCTGGGTGGGTACCATCGCTGCTGACGATGATTATGGCAAGTACGGCATCAAGGACTTCAAGGAGCAGGTGGAGGAAGCTGGAGTCTGCATCTCCTTCTCTGAGACCCTGCCCAAGGTAAACAGTTTGCAGTCAACATTTCACTATCCAACCTGTCGTTTTGGTCCATACAAGGCCAATTGTGTTTTCAAGAAAATTCGTCCCTTTAGGTGAGTTCACCAGAGGCCATCCAGCATATTGTCCAAACTGTGGTTGAGTCCACAGCCAAGATCATCGTGGTCTTCTCATCGGACGTGGACCTCAGTCCTCTCATCGCTGAGCTGCTCCAACACAATGTGACCAACCGCACCTGGATAGCCAGTGAGGCCTGGATCACCTCCGCTCTCATCAACCAGCCTGGGGTGAGCGTTCAGTGATGACCAGGGGTGAAGGCTTACAGACTTAAAGTCTTATTTTGAATAGAAATTGAGCAAGTGCAGATCATTCAGAGGCTGATCAAATCAGTCTGAACAACATTTCACAGGCTGATAATGTGTATGTTTATATGCAGGTGGGCTCAGTCCTGGCTGGCACTCTGGGTTTTGGGGTGAAGAGGGCCGATATCCCTGGTCTTCAGCACCATCTACTGGATCTGGACCCCTATGCCGACTCACTCACAGAGGAATTCTGGGAGACGGTGTGTTTATTAACCTTGGCGAATTTGACAGTGATGGGTTGATGACTATTGATCTGTCTTTACACATTTACATGGACAATCTACCCCTGAGTTTGCAGCTAGTAATCACACTTCTGCAGACTAAACCTTTAAATGACAAACAGTGTCAAAAGTCAACACAAACGTACAGGATGCAGATTTTGTGATGTTCTTTTTTCTTACAGGTGTTTAACTGTACGTTGGATTATGGCAAAGCACTGAGACTAGCCAAACAGAGGGCCAAAGAGGGAAACAGCACACTATCCAGAGCAGTGAGGGGGGTACCTGATGGTCTGTGTACTGGGAGTGAGTCTGTGGCACAACTCAGTAACACCTACTCTGACGTCTCCCAGCTACGAATCACCTACAGGTCAGTTCTTCAACCACCACTGAGGGCAACAGGTATAAGGTGGTGAAAGAAGCACTCAGATCTTGTACCTAAAAATAACAATACAACGTGTAGAAATACTCCGTTGCACATAGAATTCCTGCATTCAAGTCTGTGCTTATAAGTATAAGCTCAAAATATGTCTAAAATAGCAAAAGTAAACATACTCATCATGCAGAATGACCCATTTCATAAAGCCATGCGATAGTTTAGAATGAATAATCATGACAATAATGAATTAAATCATTAGTTAATTAATTAGGAGAATTCATTAATTAGTATCCCAGTGGAGATAAAATAGCTTAAGTTTTATCCTAATCTAATAAATCAAAATGTATGTGTTGATTATACTGTGTATTATAAATCTGAAAATGCAAAGTAGTTAGTAATTAAGTTGTGAAATAAATATAATCAAATAAACAGTACAAGATTTGCCAGTTAATTGTAGAGTAGAAATGCAGAAAATGGAAATACTGCAGTGAACTACAGCTAACCCAAAACTGGACTGCATGTACAGCAATTGAGTAAATGGACTTGGTTGCTTTACACCGCTGCACTGATGCTGGTAAAGTCACAACTGCAACAAAATTGGCATCATACCACTGATTTTCTACTGTTTAAGGGACAGTTGACCACAGTTACAGAAAGCTATTTTATTTTGAGAGCATTTCTGCAGCCTCTCTCACACACTGGATCTTAATGCAGATTAATTTCTACCCCACAAATTATATACACTGTGTCTCTTCTGAACACTGTCCTGATTGGATGATTCACTGAGTGCACTGTGATCAGTTTGCATACTTACTCCAGGTAACCAAAAAGGTGTTTTTTGGAGAAAAAAAAACAAACACATTGGTGCTAGTGTTTTCTTTAATCATGAAAAAACTTGCCTGTAAGCCTGCAATGCACAACCTGTACATCTAGTGTTTTTTGCTATGATGATGTTGGCGATAATGAGGAAAGCTTCTCCCACAGTGTGTACAAAGCAGTGTATGCTGTGGCCCACGCCTTGCACAACCTGGAGCACTGTGAACACGGAAAAGGGCCGTTCATTGGGAACAGTTGTGCTGACATCACTAACTTTGAGCCATGGCAGGTAAATGTCTGAATGTAAAGTCTGTGCAGGCATTTCTGTATGCACCTGTATGACCTACATCACCATCTCTGTCTTCCTTAGCTGATGTACTACCTGAAGAATGTGCGTTTCAAAGTGCCGAACACAGAGGAGGAGATCTACTTTGAAGAGGGGGACGTAGAGGGCTTATATGACATCATTAACTGGCAGGTCAATAGTAATGGGGAGGTATCTTATGTCACTGTTGGGAGCTACAATGGCTCGGCAGCCCTGGAGGACAGAATCCACATAATGAATGACTCCATTGTGTGGAACAATGAGGTGTTGGAGGTCAGCAACATATTGATTCAGACAGCGGTTAACCACATGCTCTTTGAGATCTTGATTAGTTGGCTCGTAGAGGTGTCCAAGCTTAAATTATCTGTGCTTTTTTTGTGTGAAAGCCTCCTCGGTCAGTGTGCAGTGAGAACTGCCAGCCGGGCACCAGGAAGGGGATCCGGCAGGGGGAGCCAGTCTGCTGCTTCGACTGTATCCCATGTGCTGATGGAGAGATCAGCAACATGACCAGTCAGTACACAACTTTCAAACTGTACCTTTAAGATGCTTTGCTGAAGAATGTGAACTAGTGCTGAAAAGATCCATCTTAATGGATCCTTTTGGGGCATGACGAGTGAAATTCCTGTTTTGTGTTGAAGTCCTTCATGTTTTTTTTTTCATTCTAATTCATTTTCACCGTTGCTTGTGGCAAACAAATGCCTAGATCTGAGTTTCTTTGCCTAAACTGCCAAAAGTTCCACTGTCCAGGTTCCATACGACTAGGATCATGCTTTTACTATTTCAGCTTAAGCACTTCAAAACAAATTCAGTGGAGCAGTGTCAAAACTACTCAGTCAGAATTAAAAACTACTCTAGATATTAAGTTTACTTACTTACTCACTTATACACTAACGCATTTATTTCAGTTGATATTAAGATGCTCAGGAGCCTGAATTTGCTTAAATGGCTTTCACTGTTCTTACTTTAAATTCAGTTTGACTGAATAAGGTGACATAATTGGTACAAATGGTAAAAATCACAAATTTATGGATCCCATGTGAAAATCAATTAATGATGCTTTAATGTATTGCTGTTGTATTCTTGCATCACAGTGCTTGAATATTCTGCAAAACTGATCTTCAACAAAAACAAACTGTCCACTTACATAAATCAAGAACTGGATAAACCACCTCCTTACGTGGGTTACAAAAATAATGACATGTTTTAGAAGTAAATTGCATCTGTGGCCTCCTTAGTCTCCGCCTGAAATAGTACAAACACAAGCAAACAAGTCTATATTTGCAAATACACCTACTTATACTAAAACAGTCTCTGGTGTCAACATGAAAAATGAGAATGTTCCAGGCGTGTGAGGGACACTTTCCACCATCAGCCTAAACAACTTAAGATATGACTCTGCTGCCCTCTTATGACACCCTCCACTCTCTCTGTCTGACAGATGCTCGTGAATGTATCCTCTGCAGTGGAGACTACTGGTCCAATGAAGCTCATGACACCTGTGTACCAAAAATTATTGAGTTCCTGGCCTTTGGAGAACCACTGGGAATCACTCTCATTGTCATCTCTGCCTTTGGAGCTTTAGTCACCATTGCTGTTGGGGTCAGAATCACACAACCAACAACAGAACTCCTACTAGATCTTTGACTGCGAAGAGTAGGGAACTAACAGGGCATTCTCTTCTTCTTCCTTTTCCAGGTGGTGTTTGTTATGCACATTGGCAGCCCTCTGGTGAAAGCCAATGATGCTCTGTTGAGTTTCTCACTGCTCTTCTCGCTGGTGGTGACCTTCCTCTGCTCCATCGTTTTCCTCGGAGAGCCGCAGCACTGGAGCTGCATGACCAGCCAAGTAGCCTTAGCTCTCGGCTTCGCTCTCTGCCTTTCCTCCATCATGGGTGGGTTACCAGTAGAAAAATTGATTTACCCTCTCTTGTGCTAAACTCAAACTGAAAGATGCCTTTGGCTTGCTGAACAATATCAAAGTCATAATCTGTCTTTGTTTCAGGTAAGACAGCAGTGTTGATGCTGAGAGCCCAGGCCCTGAAAGCAGCCCGAGCTCGCGCCAAAGCAGCTGCCAAAGCTGCAAAGGCTGCAGCTGAAGAAGCAGCAAACAGTGGCAGTCCTGATGTCATTGTAACCAACACAAATAACAACAATGATGTCAATGCCTGTGCTAACCCTGAAGTTGACATTGTCACCTGTGCCCACCAGAGGGCGATAGCTGCTGTGGCAACATTAATCCAGGTAACTACAGGTGACAAAAAGAAACCAGCTCAGTGGATCAAGAATGATGTAATATACATATAGTTGCATAAGGTACTCAGTGATAGTGACCTGGTATTCAAAATTAACATCAAATTACATGCAAATTATCACCCACAGTCCTTTTTTAATTTAAATTTGACATCTATTGCTGAACTCTAAATATAATTCTTTCATCCAGGCTATAGCGTGCACCGTGTGGCTCATCATCCTACCTCCACATCCAATCAAAAACACCTCTGCCCAGAATATAAAGATCATTCTCGAGTGTGACGAAGGCTCAGTGGTCTTCATCTGCTGCATCTTTGCTTATGACATCCTGCTGGCTCTGCTGGCCTTCATCTTTGCCTTCATAGCTCGCAAACTGGAGGACCACTTCAGGTAGGTAACACAAAGGTTTCATGTAAAATTGAGTAGCAATTAAGAAAACAGTTCCATTAATTTTTATTGCAAGCACTGGCTCACTGGGGTCAAGAGGATTAAATAACACCCTGTGGAAAATTTCTGCCTTATAGTAAGAACTCAATCTAGTTCAGCTATACCCCAATCACTCTGCACTGCTTGCTGTATGTTAAGAGATACAAGTACAGATGGTACAATGTGAAACTGATGGACAGTAAAATTGTTGAGGGGCTCTTCTGTTTGCATTTCATTTCACAGTCTGTGTGCAGAAATAATGAATCTTATCAAGTGCAAACACATAAAATACAGATATTAAAGAACCAGTACGTGTAGGACGTTTGTCAGTGTCGTTGTTGTTCCTTTAATCTTCAGAGCCATAATACATTTTCTTAAATCCATCTTCCAGTGAGGCAAAGTGCATGACATTTGGCATGCTGGTCTTCTTCATCGTCTGGATCTCTTTCGTCCCTGCTTACCTTAGCACGCGTGGCAAGTTCATGGTTGCTGTCCAGATTTTTGCCATCCTGGCCTCCAGCTTTGGCCTGCTGACCTGCATCTTCCTGCCCAAGTGCTATGTTCTCTTGATAAAACCTGAACGCAACACAGAGGAGATGATGAGGCCTCGGGCCAAACCCCGTGACGGGACCTCGACCGGGACCTCAGCCTCTCTCGCTACAGCTGGTACTGAGGTCAATGCTACAATTGCATCCACTGCTATTGATGATTAGGCAAGAAATTCTAATAACTAAACTGAGCCACAAAGTTAAAAGAACTGTAATGTTAAACCAACCAGCTGATTAGGATTCCTCGTCTTGCAAGTCAAATAATCATCATGTTCGGTCTCTGACTAGTAGACAAAATATATCACCCAGAAAATATTTACATGTATATTGACTGAATGTCTGCACCTTTATACATGACAGAGATCATTCCAATAAGTAATATCCCTGAGGGAAAGTAAAGCTGCTACCTCAGCAATAACTAAATATTTTTAAAAAACTAGGAAAAAAGCAGGACATTTTTAAATGCACATTCTTTGAGAATGATATCATCTTGACTTTACTTGATTTACTATGATGTCTGCAAGTTCCACAAAAACATATTTTAACAAGCTCAGGCTCTTATTGTAAATGCTGGTGATGTTAAATTGTGGTAGTGGAATTAAAACTAAGCCAACATTTACCTCAGATATCCTGCTGCTGCACCTCTAGTTTCACGTGGATGTCAAATACGTCTGAGTTTCAAACTGTACGCATTTAGCTTATGTTGTTCCTATCAAACAGTTTGTATAAATGTTTGCGCTGTAAACTTCATATTACCATAATAACCTATGAATGTGATTCAAATTAGTGTTGGTGCTATACATTTACAAATATTAGAAATGTTATTTTCAGTTGCTATAAAATGTGTTTTTTCTTGTTAAGGCAATAAAATACATTTTTTGCTCAAATGTGAGGCAGGACTTTGTGGTTTCTTGCTCAACAACTGAGCAGTACTAATGTAATCATAAGAGAGCTTGAAGTTTGTGACACCTTTTGATTTAATTTGTCACTGATGTCTTGCTGCTCTATGGAATCTTTTAAACTGCACTGATCTTTTTTTCACATCACCATACCAGCTACACAGTAGACCAAATGGCTGCAATGTGAAAGGGATTCCTCATCGTGACACCCATAGCAAAGTATTACCCACATTTGCAGTCTCTCAGTTTTCTAACATCGTTCAGCACAAGGTTTTAGTTTTATGATCCTTGAGTAACTGAAGTTATTGGAGCATTTATTAGCTAAAGAGCCAAATAGTTGCTTCAGGGCTTTGATGGATGGATGAAAAACATACTGAACAAATATTTTTTTTAATAGTATATCTGTATTTGCTGGATGCATAAGTATGTTTGCTATCACACTCTTCAGGTCAATTTTAAGCTTATATAAGACAATGTGGTGTGGTGTGGTTTAAAGAAGTGCCATCATAGTAACAAAAGAATAGCTATGGTAAGTGTTTATGGAGTCTGTCGTTGCATTATTACTGCAATACCTGTACTGTTGGATGATATGTTTTATAAGGGTGTACATTAGCTTCGCAGACCAAAATGGCAAGTTTGAGGGCACAGCAACAGATCTCTAGGACGTAGTAGGTCGGTAAAGGTCAGTAATCCAGGAGGACCGCTGAGTTATGCTGCTGCTCCAACATATTCACAAGAAATAAGGTCATTTTTCTGAGTGTAAAGAATGTCCCATGTGCACCAGGGCCAGGGCACTCATGGAGATAATGTCAGTCTCTCAGCTGACTCGAGCTATCCAGCAGAGGGAGCTGGAGGAAGCTGTTCTGGATGTTATGCATCCTGACTGTGTTGGTCATTCCAACCCTCACCCTGATTCCAGATATGAAGCAAGTTGACGGAAGGCTAGATGGTGATATCATTGTAGAAAAATATTAAATAAATGCACCACAGACTGTAAAGAGTGATGAAATGTTTAGAAAATGCAATTCTCCCTGAACCTTTGAATCTTTAAGCTGACTTTTACGAGTTGGAGAGACATTAATTATGCTGGAAACCATGTGATGGATGTCACAGTGTTGAAAAGATGACAAGACAAGGGGAGGCATATAGAAAGAGCTCTTTACTAAACACTAACAAGGCAGAGGGAATCATGACATTAATGTGTGTGGGTGTGTTTGCTGTCTCCTAAATCATGACGAGCTTTGATAACCTCTGTATTGCAGAAGACAATGAAGCAATATTTTCTGTTGTTTCCCGCATCTTTTATCATCTCCCAACATTATTTCCTTTATTTTTTCCTGCCAGTCAGCCTGTTTATTGCGGATATGATCAGCTTGTGTGCTCTCACTCATGAGCATGTGACTTTCCAGGAATCTGCGATGCTATGAACTGTGTCCAGTCAAAGCTGTCAGTGTGGACAGTAATAAATTCTCCTGGTGACACAGCGGCGAAGGAATGTGTTTATAATTTATTGTCAGCTGACGAGAGTGGACAGGAACACTGGTGCTAAATCAAGACGAAATGTACGCAAGCACATCACTGCGTGTGTGTATGTCTTTCCTCTACTTTGTGTCTGGGTGTGTCCACGCAAAATATTAACTTGCAGCAATTGTTTTTGGTTAACACAGTTTTTTATCTGTTTGTAAAGTTCTGATTGCAGTTTGCAAGTATTTTAATCAAGATCCTTCATGACATGTGCCTGCTTTAAATATGAAAATCTAACCAGTCTATTTTTAATTGAACTGTTATAGAAAACATCTCTCTCATCAGCACCATCACACCTATCGGGACTTTCTTCCCACCCTGTTTCAGAAACATGCTACTCTAAATTAGCCTGTGTTGCCACTAGACAGATTAATTTTGAGATGTTGTCATCCCCATTAAATGCCCGAAAGACTTCACATGTTTCCTTTCTGTTGGTCTGTCTCCATGTGATGGATAAACAGCAAAGTGAGTGAGAAACAACTCAAATGAACTATAGTGCTGATGGCATTTGTCTCTTTTCTAAATGAGCAGCCTGTTAACATCTGAGGGCTGCTGACAATCTGCGAATGAAGAATCAATCAACCTGTAATCGCTCAAGACAAAAACTCTTAAGGAATGCCGAGAGGCTCGCTCATCATGACAGCAGTGTTGTCCTACCCTGACGATGAATATGTCTAGTGTGGGTTTGTCAGAGTTACAGCTTCATTTCATGTGGACACCAGAGGGAGGTGGTAGCTGATGCATGTTTCACATTCAGGTCTCAAACTGACTTTAGTAAATACATTAAAGAAAACTAGTGTAACTGCATTGTCACTGTGTGGTTTTGCCAATCAGTCAAGTTACAGTTTCCATGTCCATATCCATGTCTGTCCAGACTTCATCTCTGACACTTTGCAAATAAAATGTCATTATTTCATTTTAATCCTATCAGATCTTTGTGTCAACGTGTGTCATAAATAGTGTAGAAACTCTTGAGTTACAGCTAAAAAAAGGTCCTTTGTGAGGCCCTAGTGACTCTGACGTTTGACCTGTGACCACACAAATCTAATCAGTTCATCCTTGAGTCCAAGTTAACATTTGTGACAAATTTTCCCAAGGCCTTTGAGAGACATGATGTGGGATGGATGGTGATACATACCAACAAAGAACCTGAAAACATAATGCCTCCGGTCACTAATGTCACGGCTGTGAAGGCATAAAAACAGCCCAACATATCTGAGGTATTAGGTCACCACAAGCCTCCAGAGCAGCCTCAGTGCTCGTTGTCGCAGATCTTTTTGTTCTGTCGAGACAACTGCCATTTTGACAAGCTTTTTCCTTGGTGGAAAGAGATGTTCGAAGTGTCGCTCCAAATTCTCCCATTTTGTTCTGATATTCTGAGATCTACTGACTGTGAAGAAATGTTTTTGTCATAATCAGCCCATTCAGTGACCCTCGTGCAGTGGTTAGGAAGTACTTGCATTATTCACTTCAGTAAAAATACTAATACCACACTGTGAAAGTACTGCATTGAAAGTGTTACTTCAGTAAAAGTATCTTATCACAAAAAATTACTCAAAGTACTAAAACTATTCAATGCAGGAACAAGTCCTCTGTGATTGTTTTACTATTATATATTTGATCATTAGAGTATGATTACATATGTATTAACAAAAGAGCAGGATTCGGCTGTTGTTGCTGTTTCTAACTATTTTGCCTAAAACGGTTACTTTGATCATGGATTATTTCCCAGATAATTTTCTACATTAACTGATTGATTGGTTTGTAAAAATTCAGAAAGTGCTGAAAAATTCCGCCACAAGTGTTCTGATTATCAAAATAGCTGCCAATTTTCTATCAGTTGGCTAATTATGGTAAAAACTACGTAGTAGTTTAACTGAAAATAAATCCCCATATAAAATGCAGTTTTTATGTTTTGCGTGCAAAAATCTGAATTTGAATTATTACGTCAAATAGGTGGAATATAAGTAGAAAGTGACATGAAAAGAAAATAGTCATGTTAAGTAAAAACACCTCAAATGTGTACTAAAATACAATATTTGAATAAAGCACTTGTACTTACGTATTGGTCACGCGTCTTCAGTCACTGATTCAGACTTATCCGTTCATGTGTCGCCACTTGGTATAATGTAGAGATCAAATGAACAAACAGAAAAAATACATACGGCACATACTTGCCTCCTTAAAAGGACCTTATTAAAGACGTGTCTTCACCTGTTCGTCCTGCTCAGCTTACATTACACACTGCGGTGACACAGGCAGGTGGCTGTAAACAGTAAACACCATTAAGGACCTCTCATCATCCTGAGACCGGTCTCTGAGGAGCAGTTTCCCATGGACATGTTGTGTCATTCTTCATATGAAAATGATATCTTGCACTTAGGGACTCCAGAGTGTAAAAGATCGCTTGAACTCCCGATGAGTCACAAACTGTGTGTGTGTAATTAGTCTTGAAATTCATAGTGACATGCTCTATTTTCCACGTCTCCTGGTATATACCTTGTATTACATGTTCTTAGTGATATTAATCTGACTTCACAAAAGCTGAAAGGAAGCGCACAATGTTTTTTTTGTCAGCACAGAGGTGTAGAACTTACAGTGGGGAATACTAACTGCTGTTTTCTTGCTGCAGAGTGAACCATATCCCAAACTTCAAAGCTTTCTAAAAGTAAAATGAATGTTTTTTTAATTATTTTTTTTGATTTTGAGTTTGTCATGTTACAGAGATGAAGAACTAACCTGTCAGCAGCAGTGCAGCAAAACCTTTCTCTTCCACTTTACTGTAAATTGTGGAGTTTGTGTTTATGCTGTGGGAGCTCAAAGACGACCAGCACGGTGTGAGATATATGAAACTACCCTCCTTTGTCAGGCCTCCTTTGCTTTATGTGTCAGTATGTGACAGGTTAGAAGAGCTTGACGAAGCACTAAAACATATTA